TTCCGTCTGTGGTACTTCTGCGTATGACCCATCACACAGCTTGGTTTGCCATCGTCGTCCACACGTGCAAACCAGTCTTCCATGTCACTTTCTTTGCAAGTATTCTCATGCAACCCCTCAAAGTCAATCGAGATGATGAAGAAGCCGTCAGGCGATTTCCTCGACCCCTTTCGAGCGGTGAGGATGAACTTCAGGCTGGTCGAGTCTTGGGTAGTAGTCAACGCCCAAGGTGCAACGCTTAGACCGTCCGGTAGTTTGGCCATCTCCCAATTCCTACCATGATCCAAGGAGTATTTGATCTCGTCTACATCAGCATCCTTGCTATCTCTGACGGCAACAAGGATGGAGCCCTGGTCTCCAAATTCGTATTTATGCGGACCTTTAGGACCTTCAATCCATGTTCTTCCAGCATCGTCCGAAATGTAGAGGTGCGAGTCCCAATAGCCGTTGAGGTGGCTCCCATGGTTGCCATTGCCCATTACGAGACCTGGCGCTGGGCTTGAAAAGACAGGACCAACATTGTTTATTTCTGTAACGGAGTGCAAGTGAATCTCCTCGTCGCCCGTCTTGACGGACTCGAGGGTCCTCCCGTCGTCAAAACTAATCTTGGTCTTGACCTTCTTCTTCTCTTCTCCCTTTTCCACTTCTTCCCAGTTATCTACCTGGTTGATCAAAAAGATACCTTGGATGTTAGAAACTTTCTCGAAATCGACGTAAGATTCAAAGTTGCGGTTTGTATGCTCGGCATTCCTAGTAAAATACGTCCCATTTGAGTTACTGGTCAGTAAGGTACCCATGGGGCTGGACAGCCGCCTGCTTGTTCGGACATCGATTTGGATGCTATAATTGGTACTTTCTAATACGGTGTACGAGGCTTCGAGGAGAGGATGGTCATGAGGGAAAACGGCACGGTGCCAGTTTTCAGTATCGCCACTCACGTACAAAGCCATCTCGGCCGTATTACGTGAGGTGGTAGCTACTAGAAGATACTTTTTGACCTCGACTATGCTCACAACACCCTGGACGGGGCTGCCGCCGTTTAATTTTGGCTCTTCCTCCTGGACTGCTCCATCGGCTTCTTTAGCGCTGAAGTAATTGTCGGAAATTAGGAGGCGATTTTCACTCGGGGGAGAGAACATGCCACCTCTGACAATGCACAATATTCTCTGTTTATCCAAATCCTCCTTGCCAGTTGTAAAGAGAGGCGATGTTTTAGCCCACCAACAACCCTGAGTACGTCCACGAAGAAACTTGACTTGTTCAAAGCCGTCGGTAGTATACATTTGGAGATCTTCGCAAAAGCCCAGGCATTCCATACCGGTGAATAAGATCTTGTCCGGATCATCGGCATGGAAACTCATCCACCGACGCGCTACGGCATCTTCGGAATTACTCAGGTATGCATCGGTAGAGAAGGTCTTCCATGTTTCGCCTCTATCGTGTGTCTTCCAGTGAACGTTCCCACGAGTCAAAACATAGGCACGGTTTGGATCGTGTTCGTGCATAACCAAGGCAACGGCCTTGCCGTGTTCGATTCCTTCGGTCTTAGCCCAGGATGCGCCCCCGTCGGTCGATCGCCAAATAGTACGCCCTGAAATCTCTTGAAACAGAACAACATTGGAGTTCTTGAAATAGTGTAAGTTGTCGGGAAAATCTTCGAATGGGGTAGCGACGATGGTCGGACCGTTCTCGGCGTGGGCAGTTGATGCCGACCATAAAAGTGTCGTTAGAAGAAAAACGGCCGACCATATCGAGGCTACAGCCCCCGAAGCTCCCCTAGCCCTCATGGTTGCGTTGTGTGAGGCGTCACGCGGAGGTCATGACAAGCTCTCCACCTCTGCGGGAGGAATAGTCTTGAGAGGATCGATGAGGGCGAACGCTAAAGTGCTCAGATGAAGCAATCTTGAGGCTAGCTCGATGCTATGTAGGGATAGGCAGATAGGCGACGGAGTCTAGGGGATGGTGGTGTGTTGAAGGGATTTATCGATTGTTTTGGTAGAAAGAAAATAGTAGATTTGTGTTGTTAGCAGCGACGTCAGATAGTGATTACTGCGTTAGGTGTCATCAATCGTTAGTTAGGTATGTAGATGTACGAAGTACAGAGGACAATACTTATTTCGTAGTTAAGTCTCAGCTTTCCAAATGCGCCGCGCGGACATTTCAGGGATCCACGTCGCAACTACCTTTCGTAAGTACGATACATGGTACATAAATCCTTATTTGCACGTACTAAAAAGACGCTAGGATTGGCCCTCAAGATGCCAAGTGGTGCAACTAGAGTCCACTAAGATAAGCCAATCGTTGATAGAGCTATTTTTATCGTTTGGCTCAGCCCTTGTGGCAAAGCACCACATACCCGACCTTTATAGCTGTGGCTTAATAGGTAGCATTCTACATTTTCCGTAAGGATTAAAGTTTTTAAGGTCTTTTTAAACTACTTAACGTAACGCGAGGGAAGATTGGACGAAACTAAAATTAGTTATTTTTAATAAAAAACTTTTTATTAAATGTGATAAATACGTTTTCGAATGAAGTTAAAAGTTATTACCTTTAAAAACTTGTAAAATTCGCGTGTTTTTAATTGGTAATTAAACAATTTTTAAAAAATCTCGTTATTACATAACATTAAAAATTAAACGAAATCGTAAATATTAAAATAAATATAAAATAAAATTAAATAAAAACTTTATTAAAAGTTGTAAGTTTTATTTAATAATAAAATATGTTTATATATATATTTTTAAATTACGTCGTAAATTATTTATCCGGGTAAAAAAGGTTTTAAAACAATATAACTTTAAAATGTTAAAATGTATTATAATGTTAATTCGGGAAAAACTTGTTAATAAAACTGTATTATAATTATATGAAAAAACGTTAACGTTATTTCCGATTTTTTTTATAAAAATACAAATTTTTAATAACCACGCATTTTCGCACAGGCTTTTTTTATAAAAATAATACTATAATTAAAATAACTTTAATATCGTCGATTTTATATTGTTATAATAAATGTTATTATGGTTTTAAAATTAAAATAAAAAAAAAACTTTTATAAAAAAACAATGTTTATAAAAATAAAAAAAACTGTTAAAAGTAAAATATTATTACCGTCGATAATAAGTAACTTTTATTAATATAATAAAGTTTATTAATACGGTTATTACATTTATTTTATTACGTTAATTTTAATTTAATATAATTAATATAATAATTTTTATTTAATTAATAACGTTAATAATAAATAAATTTAAATATTTTAATATTTTTAAAAGTTTAAAACATTTTAATTAACTTAAAAAAAATAAATGGCTTAATATACTTTATATAAAGTAATAAGTCACCTTTTTACACGCGTACGTAATGTAATGTAATATAATGCCTCGTAGTTTAATTAAATAACCCGTAAACTTATATGACTTATATGACTTGTAATGACTTGTAATGACTTGTAATGACTTGTAATGACTTGTAATCATTCGAATCCCATCGTGACTTAATAAAAAAATAAACGATTTCAAGCATTTTAAAATAAAAAGTGTTTAAAATAACTTTTTTTTAAATTTTATTTAATATATATATATCCTTTAATGTATAATACTTATTAAATGAATATATTAATGGTATTATTAATATTATATTAAAATGTATATTATATTAATGTTTTTATTATAAATATAACATGATTATATATTATATACACTTTGTTTGTGTAACTTTAAAATTGTGTAATTAACACATTGTTAAAAACACATTATTAATAAAAGGATAATATTAACTTAATTTTATTAAACTATTATTTTTATTATTATATTTAAATTAAATTTAAAACTTTAAAAATATTTTTATTAAAATAATTAAAATTTTTAAGTTAAATAATGTCCGATATAAAACGTGTGAGTTTTTATTATTTAAATAAATTATGGTATATAATTTAAAATATGTTAATAAATTGGTATTAATTTGTCTTAAAACCTTTTTTACCCGGGTAAGTAAAAACCTTTGTTTATTCGTGTGTAATTGCTTAATTAAATAGTATATGCTTATATAATCTACAGTGTTCAAACTGTGAGGACAAGTGCCCCTTTATTTCCTTTAAAACAAGCGGAATCCCGTAAAACTGAAACATAGCTTTTTAGGAATGCATAAGCGTATTTTTCATGCTACCCACATATGTGCATACGCGCATGCTAGATACGGCACTAATTCCCGGAGTGCGTACCTAATGTATAGAACCGCTTTTTAAGACCGGTTTACATTTAAAAAGAAAAGAATAATGTCTTGCATACCTATGTAAGCAATAGGCCCAAGAGATAGACCCAAAAACTTGCCCAAGTCGGGGTTAAAGCTATGGTGGGGGCTTTATTTTTGATAAACTCCTTCACCCCTCGCCCCACTAAAATAATTTTCCGGGATAAGAATCGTCAACTACAATATAACGTAGCCTTTTCAGCCATACTCGAGAACTGAAAATATCACGTATATATTACGCGTAACAGTTGAAGCAGCAGCAGTCTTTCTATCTATTGATGTTAAGATGATATACTTGAGAGTTTATTATATGTTATGTAAGTGTTTACCTAGATACTATATTAGATATCAATGTCATGATCTTGGGATCTTCCTATGTGAGCAATCAATGTTGATAAGGCAATGAAACATTATGTACATCAGAGTCTAGGCAACGGCCGTTGGACCTTGGCAGTACATAAAGTAAACAAGATCGGTTGAAATAGCAGTAAACTTTAGGTTTGTATTGCCCATTTAGTACATGCTACCAGGGGCGGACAGGACGGGCAGGGACGGGCTAAACGTGCCAGACAGGGTTGGTGGATGTAAACAGAAAGCAATGCGACAAGCGTCTCATGCTCCTTCCATTTAATTATCTCTTACACTTTTCGGTACAGTAGGGAAGGCAAGTACCTAAATAAGCACAAACACGCTTCACAGGTTCCTGCCGCAACCGCATTTCTTTCTTTCGTCCCCGGTCTAACCGTTTACTATTTACCGTTTACCGTCTGCCTTCTGCCTTAGTAACGCGCGACACATTCTTACTATTCCTACCCCTTCACAACTATTTTTCTTCCTTCCCCTTTTCTACACATATTCATCCTCTTCATCCCACATCCATCTCATCTCCATAATCGTCCTATAGTACTACTATAGACTGTGGCTTTACTCTATAATCAACAGGCATCACACAAAGACGCCCGAGTCAAACCATCCAAACGTACCTATACGCGTCGGCTAAGCCAAACATAAATCACCATGGCGCTGGCGGCTGTCTACAAGCAGTTCCTTGCTGCGCCGAACTCGTCACAACTGGCGGACGATGCTTCCCTCCACTACATAACCACTACTTCTAGTTACAGAGGTTCAGCCGAAATACTCAAGCACCTCAACACTACAACCAAGCAGCTCAAGAAGAAGAAGATGGAATTTCTTACCGTCATAGGAGGTCAAAATGCCATTGCCGCCGAGGTTGATACTGTACTTGAGTTTCTCACCAGTGGTGGGCCCTATCTACCTGGTCTCGACGACAACTTCCTGGCTGATCGTACTGTTTATATTCCCATTGTAGGTCGCGCTATATTGGTCTAACTACTATTCCCTCAAGACTTAACTAATACGTAACTTAGATGCACATCGTCACGTTTGATAACGACGGCAAGATTCTGCAGATTCGTCAGTCCTGGGATCAAGGCTCCCTACTAAAGCAGCTCGATGTTATCGGCAAGTCAGGTCGCAATTGGCCAATTCGCGACAGCAAAGAACAGATCAAGTTGATCGAAACTTGTGTCAAATCCTCGAGCAATGGCGCTTCTAGCCAAGACCCTATTGACCTTGCCGTCCGCGCTCGTGGCAACTCGAACAATGCCCTACGCGATCCCCACGCTTCGCTTGCCTTGTTCGCTCCTCGCGATGAGTCCGACGATAGCATTGCCGCCGTTATCTCCCCTAGGGGTGGAGCCCGGCCGCGACAACGCGATATTATGGAGATCTTAGGTGACGAGCCAGTCGAAGGTCCTGATCGCGATCGATCAGAATCGCCAAGCAAAGCGGTTGCCCCCAAAGCTGGCGGTGAGAAGAAGTTCCAGCCAAGCCGCCTATTTGCGGATGAAGAAATCTTGGAAGAAAGTGACCCGATCGAAGACGTTGCTTCTCCTAATCGTTTCTACCGCCCCAACCCCAAGAAGTACAGTCACTTTGACTTCGACGACGGCTCTAACGAACCCGAGCAGGTTCCGCTACCAACCGAGACAACCCCTGTAAAGACCAAGCATACCAGTCAATGGTCTTTTAATGACTTCGTTACCCCGCACAAAGTGAAGCCGTCTAAGATCTTGCAGCAGAAGAATGTTCGTCATTGGGGAAATGAGGATGATGAAGTGTTGGATAGTCCAGAGCGCAAGCCTGTACTCCCTAAACCTCGTCGTGACGCCGAGACCCATTTCGAATTCATAGATGATGGTGTTCCTAGTGGCGCGCCTCGTGCTGCACGTCCCCGCGGCGCAACGCATAACAATGGGCTTGGCTTGTACAAGAACAATTTGTACAACGAGGACGGAAATGGAACACCTCCTGCCAGCGGGCCTCAACCTCTGGGGGCCATTACGAACTCAAAGGACCGCGGTCGAGATTTCGAATCCCACTGGGACATGACGGACAAATCGCCAGCCCAAAAGCCACAGTCCAAGCCCGCGGTGGGTGAAGACCGTAAAAAAGCTGTCAAGATGATGGATGCTAACTGGTCGAACTATGACCAATCTCCTGTACCAAAGGAAAAAGAAAACAAACCTATTAGTACGGCTAAAGGTCCTGGACCTGACGGCGAGCGGGGGATCCATATCGGTGGTGACGGAATGGGCGGCGGGAAAGGCTCCAACCGCAACTGGCTATTCGGTGACGATGATGACGACCAGAGTGCTACGCCAGCGCCCAGGAGAAAGGCCCAGCAGCCTGCAACCGCTACGACCTTCAATTGGGATTTCTAGGTCACCTAGCATAATTCCCGACGTTGGAAGAGAAACTAAACCAAATGATAATAATGCGAACATTACCAGCTATTATGTATGAAAACGCCTAAATGCCGCTCATGAATTACGAGAAGAAGGCAAGAAGAAGCAAGTCTCTCATGTCTGCGAGGCAAGAGTTATAGGATATTCTCTGGACAGGTGATTGGCCTTTGAGGTTTGGTTGAGTATAGGTTCTTGTGAATTAGCCATATTACGGTACCGCGTTAGATCACTATTGCAGCAATAACAACAAGTGGCGGAGTTGACGATACCATGGCTAGAATTATTCGAGCAACTTAGTTTGCCGCTGTGTACATTCTATCGGCTTGCATATAATTAATTTCCTTGATTCCGATTCTTTAGAACCGATACGCAATGAGTGCATATAAATACGTTATCCTTATATCTTTATGTGAGGCATGACATTTATGTGACCTTGAGAATTAGTCTAGTATGGCAGCAAGCGGTATTAGATCCTAAACTCAAGGAACCTAACTTGACAGCAACTATAACCAAAATACAAATACTAATATATAGGTAAATTACAAGTGATCGTGCCTCGACAGTTTACAAGCACGGTACGGGACTAGTGATACTCTGCTTCTAAGTGCTTTTCTCGTACATCTATATAACTAATGCTATCTATACAATAGCTATACAATAGATCTAGGCGTAGTCTCTAATATTCCGTCGAAACCTTCCGCTAGCCAAGGGAATACCAACAACAGAGCCTTGATATCAAAAACCGCAACACATAAATAAATCATAACAAGACGCCCCGGTTCCATAGCATCACCCGTCCCAATACAATAATACAAGAGGCCTAAAACCCCCTTTTAACGGCCCGAATCTCTTCCTTAGATCGCCGTTAGTAAAACGCCACATTCCAACCTCGTAGCGGTCCATAAGCCAATAGACCAATAACCCAGTAAGGAAAAAGAAAAAAAGGCAGCGCAGCATAAACCATAACAAACCTCTCTCTCTACTCAACACAAAAACTTATATATCCTCTTCCACTTCGGCCACACCTTCCTCTCCTCCGCCTCCTGCGCAAGCAGAATCGGGAGGTTAAAATCTCTCCGTCCCGTATCAATATCCATATCAGCGACCTTAATAAACGAGGTGTGCGCCCAGTACCTATGGGCGACGTAAAACACAACCACCACCGGGAACGCCATGTACTGCAGAAAGAAGTTCTGCGCGAGCTCGGTGGGCGAGAGCTCCTCCCAGCCGACGGGACGAGCGCCGACCCAGAACTGGGCGATGAGGACTAGGATGTTGAAAAAAAGACCTAGGTAGGACCCGAATACGCCGCATTGCGACTTGAAGGCTAGCTCGCGCAGGCTGTGGCCTTTCAGGGCCCAGGCGCGGCGGAACCGGATGTGTGCTAGGCAGATAGAAGCCCAGGTGAAGATGGAGGAGAGGCCCGATATGGCGACGAGCCAGTCGAGCACAACGCTTTGTTCGTTGAGGTCGGCGAGGTAGGCTAGGAGACCCATTGACGATGATATTATGATGGAAACCAAAGGCCGTCCGCGACGGTCGACATATGACAAGATTCTCGGCGCTTGTCTCTGGTCTGCTAGCGCGGCAAGGGTTCGCGAAGAGCCAAACACGGAAGAGTTTCCGACGGAAAGGACGGCGATTAGGATAACGACGTTCATTACCGAAGGTAGGACCTCAATGCCTGCATTCTCGATGGCGATGACGAAAGGCGACGCGGCCGCGACCGCCGATCCGGGGATGAGAAGACGTGGGTCATTGTAGGGCACGAGTAGCCCGATGAGAAATAGAGCCACGATATAAAATATAGTAATCCGCCAGAACACCTGCTTAATAGCAGTAGGCAAGGACTTGCGCGGATTTGCCGTTTCGGCTGCGGCTAACCCGACCAATTCAGTCCCGGCGAAGGCAAATGCCGCTGTGACGAAGACGCTGCAGAGGCCTTTGAAGCCATTATGGAATGCTCCTGGATCCCGCCAATATAAAACCCCTATATACCCGCCTCCTGGAACACCTCCGATATTCAAGACGATTCCTAGTAAGCTTGAACCGGTGGAAATCGTCAATAAACGTATAGTATTGTTAGGTAGAGTGGTGGTAGAAGAGAATCTCACATGAAGCCAATGACAGCAATAACCTTAATAATGGCGAAGACAAATTCAGCTTCACCATAGCCCTTGACACCAAACAGGTTAATCGCAACAACTGCGATCAGGAATATCGTCACGAAAATAGCTTTATTTAGATCCGGATTCCAATACGTTATAGTTATCGACGCGGCGATGATCTCGAGGGGTAGCGCGACTAGCCATTGCAGGGCGTAACTAGAAGAGCGTGTAAGTCGCATTCACCTCATATGACCATTATACCTAGAAGGAAAGGAGGAAAGACATACTTCCAACCCATAGCAAACCCCCACGACGGGTCTAAAAAGCGCGTCGAATACGCAGAGAAGGACCCAGCAACCGGGAACGAGACGGCCAGCTCGCCAAGCGCCTGCACGGTGCAGTATAACATGCATCCGATAAACAGATACGCAAGCAACAGCGACGCCGGGCCCCCAACCTCAAGCGCGCGGCCCGAAGCAACGAATAACCCAGTCCCTACGCCATGTAAACATCGTCAGCTTTACTTCCATTCTCCCACGTTCATCCACACAAGTATGCGTAGCCAAGATAGGAGCGAGCACCCACCAATAGACCCCCCAATCGCAATCATCTGCAAATGTCTCCCCTTCAACTTCCGCGCAAGATGCGACTGCGCCGTCTGCAAATTCGCCGCCCTCACATCATACCGATGACCCCCCGACGACCCCGACGACGACCCTCTTCCCCCTTCTCCTCCTCCAAGCATCGGCGCCCGCAACTGCGCCACCTCCGCCGCATGTATCGCGTCGAGCGGATCTTCCGGCGTAACGCGCTGATTCGGGTCTCGACGAAACCCATCGACAATGCGATCGAAGAACCGTGTGCGCGACGACGACGCCACGTCCTCGTATAGCGGCTCGCGCATCGTGTAGCTGCTCCCGGGGGCTAGCGAGTCCTCTTTGATCGGGAAGATGCTCATCTCGATGTCCCTGTTCGACGACGGCATGGTGGGTGGTTCATCGCGCGCGCGGGGCAGTTCGAATGTTGGTTCGGGATGCGCAATTGGGAAGTTCGCGATGGTGGTCTCTTGTCGACGATGCGACAACGATGTTGTGGATTTACATGTACGAGGTATGTAATTGTATGTATGTTCGTAAAAGTCGGCGTGGGGTATGTATTAACAGAAGGTGGTTCAGGGTAGCTTATCGGCCACGCGAGCTAAATGGAAATTCACCTTCCTTTTGCTCCTACGAGTTACATAATGGCATCTAGATCCCTGCTTTGGTACGCTTAAATAGTGGATATTTGTAGATAATGTGCATGGGATGAACTTCAGATCCAAGATCTGGCCCAGATCGATCCTATGTACAAGGTATTTACTTACACTGTATGTGTACCACGGCATTAAGCCATAGAGTGCAGTGGGGGGCCAACCTTGGCGCTCGAATTCGAGTTGATGAGCTAAATTACTTATAAGCATCAAGTCGTTATCGAATCACCTCAAATATCACAATAGGACTAAACATAACAGCAAGTTTTAGTTTATACATGTTCAGAATGCCATATATACTATGCGGCAACTATCGAGAAAAACAACCCTCCCGAGCTCTACATTACGCCAATGATGCTCCCCGAAGTAGGTGGAGATGATATATGCTGATTATTTCTGAACTCATTGAATGATCTTCCCTTCCGCGTCTCTTGGTTTCCGTTTCCACCCCGTCGAGAATAGCTGGCCCATATCGAATCGAGGGAAAAGGTGTGCCTCGGTATTAATGACAATCTTATCCAATGGAAGAAGATCGTTGGGAGAGAAGAGAAGATAGAAGTACTTCAAAGTCTCAGCCTACAAGGTAAAGAATAAATTAGAAAATGCATTCAATAGTGTAAGGGTATGGGGAACATACCAGCCAAAAACTTTCCATATTGTCTCGCGTCACCGGCGGGATCTTGTTCGCATTCGAAAGACTCGAAAACCCTCCGCCATCCGCTACGGCAGTGTGGTTCATAAAAGACTTAAACATCTCCCAGCCCCATTCTCGGTACTTGATATCACCTGTGATTCTCCACATGTAAAAGAGGCTTTCTACCGTCTCCGGCCGCTGGAGATTATGAGTGTCCATGGAGTGAACCGAGTAATCTTTCCGCCACTGCGCTTCGGGGTCCGGATCAAATTCAGCTGGTGGATGGTGAGGAGCAGATTCAGGCGCAGGTGGGTCGGCGATATTAAAGTATGTGATTTCGGCCGCAAGACCGGTGGCCATCCACTTATACATGCCCCAGCATGTCTGCATCAACTCCCTCGCGAGTTGCATGTCGGCCTCGTTTTGTTTTGTCCACGTTGGCTTTTTCCTAGCCTCCGCTTCTGTCAACCCGCCCGTGACAGCAAGGGCAATCGTGCCTGGCATAAAGCAGACCAAGTGATCCATCTTCGGAGACAAGGCACCCTTCAGACCATCTGGCCGCTCCCCAATGATGGTGAACCCGGACGGCTCCGTGTAAGTGACGAGGTGCTTGCGGACTCCCCGTAGAGTCTCGTCCCACATTTCTAGATAGACAGGTTCCTGCTTATTAGTTTGTAAATATTGCTTGATAAGATACTCATAATACGAGTCTCCTCGGCTTCCTAATCGGATGTTGTGGCCTCTGAAAGTACCGTCTGTGGCGTAAATGTAGATGGGTACTAGGCCATCTTCGACTCCGTTATTATCAACAACTTCCATTACTTTCTCGGCTTTATCCCAAAAGTATTTCTCGCCGGTCAACTTGGCAAGATACTTGAACTCGAGCTGCAAAGTAGTCGCCTCGGCAGTAGACGATGCGCCACCCTCATCATGAGCTGGGATACCTTCGTATTTACCGATATTCACGCTGGCATAGGGGACGCCAGACGGAGAATCGAAAGCAGATATAAGTCGGTCAGCGAGATCCTTTGCCTTCTCGAGGTACAGATCCTCTCCAGGTGCTCCAGGGTCATCGTCTGATAGCGGTGCCAGCTCAGGGAACTCGTTGGAGAGATAATGAGCAGAGAGGAGGCCGCCTAACATACGAATTGTCGTCTCGAAGGTGTTAACATCTTGATCTTGGTCATACGATAGGGTATTTGAAATCCACTCCCTCGCGTGAGTGACACGGGAAGTGAGATTCATCAGAATCATGGTGTCTAGAGCATCCACGATGATCCACCCCATTCCTCCCTTAGCCATCTGGTCACCTTTCTTGGATATCGGGTGAAACTCATCATAGCCTTGAGGCGAGTTAGCAAAAACTGGGCATAAAGCCGTGACCGTTGATTCGAATTAAATATCTTACCCCAGGCATATCGTTCATAAGCGTCCCAGCTTAGGGTGAAAGCTTCAACAACGCGCTCTCTCCGCCCCAACCAGTCGGCAGACCTCCCCGATCCAGAGTTAGCAGTAAGCCAGGCCCATATAGGAGTTGAAGCGACGACGGTATCATGATGACGACCGAATGCACCGAAATAGTATAGCAGCAGGATCACCAGCAGCACAATACCAATTATCCGCTTTCTCCGCCAGAGAGGTCTGGCTCGGTAGGAGGGCGGGTACGCATACGGCTTGTCCTTGTACATGGGGAGAGAGTTTCGATCGTCGAAGAGGCTTCCAACCTTATCTTGCACGCCCCCAAGTATTCCAGTGTTCTTGGGATTTGAACCCTTTCCACCTCTTGCGACTGCTGTGTTGCCCCAGACGTGATCCTCCACTACCCTCTGCGGGTTGCTAAACGAGGGAACATTTTTAGGGACGGAAAATGACATGTCAATATCGTCGACGGCTTTCTTGCTCTTCTCGAGAGCATTAATACTGGCCTCGACGGCGCGTTCGGTAAAGTTGACGGCAGCACGCGGTACGGTGGTCTTAAGGATGGATAGAGCGTTTTTTCGATGGATACCGAAGGGGTCGCGTACATTCATGAGGCAAGGTACAGCGACGACAAAGGATACGCATTAGTAGGCGGCTTGTCGAGGACGGGCGACCCGTACTGATGGACTAGGAGCAATCGTATGGGCGGTAGAATAGGAAGCACGCCTAGCCCAAGAAACTTAATTAGATAAGAACAATGACAAGATCATTTCTATTCTATCATTATGATTCTTCTCTCCGTGCCGAATTTTTGAAATTCGCCTACTAAAGGCATAGGCACGTAGGAAGAAATTCCCTGTCAGCTTTGATTCTAGGAAAAGAAAAGGTGAGTTGCCGCTACTGACTTACAAAAATATATGGTCGGAAGGAGGTACCTATTAAGGACAGCTAGTTAGTTTTATACAAGGTAGTAACGTCAATTGCCGTTCGCCTGGTCCTGCCGCCTGTCCGATTAGCGGCCAATGAGAGTTTCAGCATATATGCAGCTAGCCCCTCCACAATCGTTGACCCACTTACATCGACATCAGTGCATGCGCGATAGAGAGAAGTACCTGCCTCACATTTGGGTTACATGTATGTAGGTTAGGTACCTAGAAGCCTGAATTATATTGGGTAAATACATGCACGCCTTATATACTACCTACATGAGGTATCTACATTTACTCATATTTATCTCGAAGCTCCAAAGTTCACATGCTCATATAAATCAGCCGACTACTTCTTAATATTTAGGTTGTTAGGAAGGCGCTATCAATTCATGTTAAAGACTCGTCATTGTTCGGAATTGGCAAGAACTACTTAAATCTCAAAATCAAAAGTATATATAGATATCTTGGTCCCGTCGACTACTACCACAGTAGCAACCACCACCGCTTAGAGGACGCACAATGGATTCTTCTAATTGTCACCGTTCGAGCTACAAGTGCTACCCGTATCTTACCAAGGCGGAGTTTTCTGAAGTATGCCACTATCTGGACAGGAGATATCGTCGTGCCACATTAGGTCCCTTGCGCAAAGAATGGCGCCTTCATGTTCATACGGCGTTGGAGTTGTCCTTTGAGCCTGGTTCAGGGCGTACTACTTTCCTACAGGTCACACGACCTCTGGACAACAGAACGGCTGCCGACGATGAGCTCGCGGCTAAGATGGGTGGCGTCTCCTTGGGCGAGGATCAAGATATGCAACTGGATGCCGACGAAATGATGGTCAAGATGGAAGATTCGGACAAGGTCAGCCATATTAACTAAAAATTCCCCTAATAGCGCGGCATAGACGATTAACACATTTGCAGGAAGTCGTTTCTAAACGACCATCTCGGGCACACTTCCAAGCAGGTCACGTCATTTATGAGATTCATTTCCACCCGACGTATAGCTCACCCTGTCTCTGGTTCACTCTACATGGTCTGCCAGCTGGGGAGTCACCCCTCAATATCGAAACTGTCTTCCGTCACTTAGTCCCTGAACAGTTCAAAGATTCTCTCCGAACTGTTGGCCCCATAGGCGCCATCTCAATCGACGTAGGTAAAATTTTGTTCTGCCTAATAAGTCAATTATTTGTTTCTCATATTGGGTATTTTATTATCTCTACCTTGGGACTAACCATGACGTCTACAGCACCACCCTATTACCGGACTCCCTTCGTTCTTCGTTCACCCATGTGCCATCGGAGACGCCATGGCTGGATTTGACTGCGCAAAGCAAGACTATCTCATGGTATGGCTTGGTCTGGTGGGAGGGTGTGTTGGACTTTGGGTCCCTCAACAGATGGCTGCTGTCAATGCTGGCTAAGGCTCCAGGTACCCATATAGTGAGGGAACGAGCCATACCCTACAGCCTGACAACCGATGAAATTGAGAGGGAGGCTTTATCCTGAATGCGTTCTTTCAGCAAGCTTGGTACTAGCAAGTCTTCATTCATCATCGCTATCTTCCTCCATCGCCACATCTTCGTCGCTATCTTCTTCCTCCTCTTCGTCGCGAGTTCGTTTTTGTCCGCGAGCATCAGGGCCGCCTGCATCCGTCATCGCATGATCGGAGCTCTGAGGAGGCTTCGTAGGAAGACCATGAGGGGTGGAGGCTGCCGCGGATGTGCTGGTGGTAGTAGTGCCAGGTGCCGGAGCATTGAAGATGTTCTGCTGGGCTTCCGTCATCTCGATATTGGCGGCGGCTGATCCCGGAAGTTTGTATGTACCGTCTAATTTCGCGATGATATCCGATTTGGACTTCGCATACTCGATCCGCTATAGGCACGCGTTAGTTAGACAGACCTAACGTAAATAAGTTCAAGAATATGAAATTTTACATACAAGTTCCAGTCCTAAGAATTTGAAACCTTGTAAGGACCTTAATGCTTGAGTCGCTGCCTGCACATCGCGAAAGACAACATGAGACTGTCCACGCATTTTTATGGTTTTCAGAGTCACAATGTCAAGCACAGGGCCGTAGGTTGAGAATAGCATGTAGAGCGCCGTCTTCAGATCTGCCTTGTTGATCTTATTCGAAGGTAGATTTGTAACGTAGAGCCTGGAAACAGGGTTAGACAGAGGCTTACACAATAAGTTGATGGCGGAATTTCGAGAACCTACGTCTGATTTGGTGGAATTGGAGCTGTCTTGCCTCCAGTCTTGGGTGGTTGACCGCGTGTAGCGACGGTGGTGGCCATTGTGAAGAGACGAGTATATCGGATTCAATTAATTATTGTCCAACGTATTGAATCGCCAATCCCGATTTTCTCTACACTCCGTACTGGTCGTGGGAAATCTTGGAGCTCCTATAATACAGCTTGAAGGTTGCTTGGTGATCTCGATGGTCGTGTTTAATTATTGCAGAAGACAAGCCACGCAGAACGGGCTGAAGGAGCCTCACAATACCGATATGGATGTTAGGTACATTTCCGTCCACTATTATTAGTCTGCCACACTTGGCGGGATGCTGTGGCTTGAGTTCGACTTAGGTGACGCACGTCTGCGGAGCCCCAGCTGCACCCCACTGCAGGTGCTTGCCCTGCCACCTCTCATTTCTAGTTACTTGCTAACTAACTTACACCTCCTTTCTTATTCCTAAATCTTCGAGCCTCCTAAACTACCTAATCTACCTCGACGTGGTAGTAGAGAGCTATACTCCTATCACTAGTAGGCACATAACTAAAAAGGCACCCACCTCGAAGGAAAAAGAAGGAGAAGAGACACTTATTCAAGATGGCCGCTCCGGAGGTTCACCATCTCTTCCATCGACCTATTGCTGACCATTCCTTCTCGGCCGACCGCCAGACATTGGCCGTCGCTAAGGACTCTACTATCGAGTTATACGGCAAAGTTGGGGGTGCTTTTAAATTAAAAGATGAGCTAAAAGGTCACGATAAAACTATCACCAGCGTCGATATTGCTCCAGGCAGCGGCCGAATTGTCACGTGTTCTCAAGGTCTATCTACCTCATTTACATTCTATAACCTAAGAATGAGCTTGTTCTAATATGTTTGGTAGATCGTAATGCCCTGGTCTGGGAGCCCTCTCCTACTGGCTACAAGCCGACCCTAGTGCTTCTTAGAATTGCTCGAGCGGCTACCTTCGTTCGCTGGTCTCCCTCCGAGACCAAGTTCGCTGTTGGCTCCGGTGACAGGGTCATCGCTATTTGCTACTTCGAGGAGGAGAACGACTGGTGGGTTTCCAAGCACTTGAAGAAGCCCATTCGAAGCACCATCACTAGCGTCAACTGGCATCCTAACTCGGTGCTGCTCGCTGCCGGCTCTACCGATGCCCACGCGAGAGTCTTCTCGAGCTTCATCAAGGGCGTCGATGCTCGTCCCGAGCCTAGCGTCTGGGGTGAACGGTTACCTTTCAACACCGTCTGCGGTGAGTTCTTGAACAACTCCGCCGGGTGGATACACTCTGTCGCTTTTTCTCCGAGCGGTGACGCCCTCGCGTTCGCTGCCCATGACAGCAGTATTACGGTCGTCTACCCTACCGCTCCTGAGCAACCTCCGCGAGCTGTCATTAGCGTCAACACCCAACTCCTGCCTTTCATGAGTCTAATTTGGAACGGCGAGAGCGAGATCATCGCAGCCGGATACGATTGCGAGGCGTTTAGATTCAGGGGTGACGCATCTGGATGGCAACTGAGTGGCACTTTGGAATCTAAGGGAGGTCCTGGTTTGGGAGATGCGCGAGAAGAGTCTGCCTTGAATATGTTCAAGCAGATGGACTTGAAAGGCAAAGCCAAAGATGACACTCAACTAAAGACCGTTCACCAGAACACCATTTCGACAGTCCGTGTATACGAGTCCGATGGCGGAGCCGTCACCAAATTCAGCAGTAAGTCTTTCTCCTCCTACCGAAGCCTCAGGTTGTTCTGTGGATATGCTAACGGGATACAAAGCAAGCGGCGTTGACGGTAGAATTGTCATCTGGCACACGTAGACTCACAGATAATAAACACCCGCATCAAATCGATATGTCTTAAATCTATCGCCTTTGTCCACACCGCCTCGTGTTTCTCCCTAGTTCTGTTCTTGTAGTTACTCGAAAGTCCCTTAGAATAGCTCTTAGTTGTATAAGCCTCTAGAAGCCTACAGTTCCCCTGGCCGTTGCTATTATTGCCGTGCTATTAATACCAGTAGAGCTCCATGCGATCCGATTTACTAGTTCCACATATTGATCATGTTAAATTCAACGACATCACCAAGTGACTTTATTTACCGCAGGGCTCAAGGTTCACTCGTTGCTTCACCTACCCGAGAAGATCTAGCCATGGAACCAAGCCCACGTACGAAAGTGACCGGCACCAAGTCCCTACCAGTCACCGCAGCCGAATGGGAAGTCGTTGATCCCCAATTCTTGCCGTTATCACCTGGGGAGTGTCCATGTTTCACCCCTCACCCAGATCTTCGATATTTGAAGAGAGAAAATGGTCATCAACAACCACCGTACGACAATAACCATCCTCCACTAGAGCAAATAGAAGCGCCGAACAACCGCGCTCCTCTGGCGTATCCTCAGGAGTCAGCACCGCGCATCTTCAAGCCTGAGCCAGATGCGTACTCGCCCCAGGCTACAGACCAGCACCCGTGGCTATCTCCGCCCTCCGAGCAGAACCCGGATTTCCCTCTTCCTCCTGCACCCGCCCCATCGCGCACAGATGGCCGGACTCTCTCCATAGCCACGTCCAGCCGCACCGTAAGTATACCCAGCAGCAGCACGGGACCCATTATGAATATCTGCGCGACGGCGCGCGCCGTCCACGATATATGCTTGCAAGCAACGAGGACGTATCTCGACACGCATATCGCGAATCGGCGTGCTCGGGCTGCCAGTCAGGGTTGGTCTATGGCTTGTCATGGCAGTGGTAGTGGGAGCAGCAGTAACGGCGCCAGCACGAACAACAGTAGCAACACCGCCAATAGCAGCAACAATAATAATAACAATGCCTATACTCATGACTCCGCCTCCAGCTCAAATGCTATCCCCCCCTCAACTCAGTCCCTCCTGCTCAACACAAGCAGCATCTGCAGCATGCTCTGGACCGGATCGCAACGAGACCGTTTACACGTGCTCAACGTCGAGCGGCTCGCGATCGAATCCATGGGGCGGCTAATGCACTGGGCGGAAACCGTGGCCCTTAGCAGCGAGGACGAGTGGCGGGTAGCCGACGACCAGGCGTTATGGCAGGTACTCGACGCGGGGAGGAATCTGTGCAGCTGGCTGGGAGTCCCGGATGCGGTGCACGCGATGGAGGCGCTGGAGGGGGAGGTGTTGGGGGAGTATGGGGGCTCGTGAAGGGGGATAGAGGGATAGGGGGATGATGGAGATGATAACGTCGTTCCTAAGCGGAAGCAAGGTAAAGCAATAGCGAGTGAAAACGGCGAGTAGGAAGGTCACGCAAGTGATGATGCGAAATCCTATAGCTGTACTGAAGATCAGCACTAGATAAACCAGCCAGTAATGGGTATTTCACGTCGTGGCAAGAGAATTGCCGTATCTTACTATAGCAAGACAGCCTTCAGGATCGACGGTATCACTATCGAGGACAATAATCACAATAGATTACGACGGACTGGTTTTGGTAGTAAATCGGTACTCATACATGATCGTAAAATATTTATATTTTTAAGTCTTTCAGTTGAATAGGCCTTGCTCTAAGTTCAAGCTTATCTGTCTTGAAATCCTTGTCTCGTGATTTGCATACTGGCCCACTGGTGCATAGGAAGAGTGGTATTTCATAAGTACTAAACATTAGATATAACTATGCTTGACCATCCTTTGTAAACTGTGGTTACTGATATCGGGGTTGTCGCGCAATGTTGGAGTTCGGTGGACCTGACGGATATCTCGGGTCGTAGTCATCATAGCCAGTGGCGTCATCTCTTGAGAATGCTTCGTAGGTTCTCTTGGTTATACTACCTTCCTCCCTGAAGCTTGCCTCGTATGTAGGTTGTCGCGGAGGTGGCTCGGTCCTCAAGTCAGATTCATTTCCGTAAGACCTATATCGCGCCGTAGCATCATTATAAGGGGTAGGCCCATCCTGGGATGTGGTGTAGGTAGGTTCTCGCTCAAGTGTAATAGGTCTTTTGATTACGTACTCGCCGTGGGAATCCCGGACCCTAACGATTTCATAGGTTGTAGCATATTCGGGGGCGGGTTGATGTGCTCGATTGTCATTAGTGTATACATGATAATATTCCTGGCGTGGAGGTCGGTCATATAACGCGTCATCTAGAGGCGCTGTAGTACGCGTAGACCCGTGGGTTGGGTTAATAGCACGAGGGCCAACGTCATTTTCCTGATACTGATCAAGGCGAGTTCTTGATTCGTGCCGAACATATCCAGGGGGTTCCAAGGTAGTTCGGTCATAAAAATGTCCTTGGTCAGGATAGGTATGCTGCCCAGAACCGAAATATTGTCTGTAGGGTGGTTGCCTCTCATGAAGATCGCTGTCATGCCGTGGTCGATAGTCGAAACGTCCATTCAATACTTGCTGTTGATCAAGTTGAGATTCCAGACCAGCCATCAGATCATCTTCGTCGCGTTCCTGGGCAATTGTAGGTTGCTGAGGTCTTGCAGCTTGTGCTACATATATCGATGGTTCAATACTTTGAGCCGGTGGAGCATAATGACTTATTGGACTTCCTGTTTCCGATTTTCCGTTCGGAGTGTTAGGCTCTTCAATTTGATTCGGAGGCTTGTTCTTAGAAGCAACCAGTGCAGCCTCCCTGCGGTCTGCAGCCCACATTGCTCGAATTTCCTCTTCTTGGCGACGTTCTTCTTCCGTGATTAGGTCTCCCTCACTGGGTTCTTGTGATTTGACCCTAGATGATGTATCTAATGCACCACTCTTACGGCCCCTAGAACCCTGGCTGGAAGTGTTTCGACGATCTTTGGTGGAAGATCTCCTCTGCTTCTTTGTCCTTGCCGCATTAGTCCCCTGCCATGCTTCTGAGGAGGACCGGCCCGAGTCACTATGCTGCAGTTTCTGGTGCGCTGTTAGAGAAGAGCTGTCTATAGCCATCAGCTGATTGAAATCTAGTTTCTGGCCTAGTGTAGTAGGTCGTGGGGGATCTTGTTGTATGCTAGAGTTGGCTTCATCATGCCTAACTGTAGGGTAAAGTGATATTGAGTCGCTACTAGTCGGCTGCCGACTAGCAAAAGCCCCAGCTCCGACATCTGCTCGGTTATCAACAGCAGATACAGCTTGTCGGTAGCTGTTGGGATACTGCGCTGACGGAAAAGCACTATATATCAATGAATATTTCTGGCCATCTATATTCGTCAAGTACTGAAGACTAGATAGCGCAGAGAGATCTGGCATATGAACCATGTTGATAGTCCAATCAAGAAAAGGGACGCCTGCCATTTGCGGTTGATCCACGTGCCTTTGTTGAAAATGGGTTACCAGCTGTGGCAGGGAAAATGCCTTGAGATCCTGTTCGGTCGGTGCTTCATTACTCAGACCAAGGTGGCATGCTTTGCACATTAAGCCGTTGACATTGCGTACTGGACGCATCTCCTTATTGTTTGAGAGCCCGTCGATGAACATGGACAATGGGGGGCTCTCGTGGAACTTGGACCGAAATTTTTGCACCACATGCCAGATGACAACATGAACCCTGATATTTCCTGGGAGCTCTTTTAAACCAGCTGTGGAGGTCCAGAGCTCGCGTGAATTTCGTGCTAAATATTCAAGCTCAGTACGATATTTGCCAGCAAGAAAATTCCCATGGGGGCTTTGAGAGCTTATCTGGGAATTATTTTGAGGCATATTGTAGCTGTGAGGATAAGTAGGCGGCTCAGTTTGCATCCCAGGAGAAAAAGGCGGATGTAAGCCACGGTAAGGGGCTTCGTATGGTGTATAGGGTGGTCCATGGCGAGGATAAGGAGAATTATATTCATGTGGTCCTTGGATATAGGGGATTCCATACCCGTATGGAGCCGGCTGTTGCATCGTCGGTCCATATGCTGGATGCCCATAGCTTGGAGGCGCAGCAGTGTATGGAGATGGCTGGAAGGGCGACGGATTTGAGCCGGTGGAATAAGAGCCAGCATTGCGACGGTAGGGATAGGCATTACCCTGGGGCTGCATGGTTTCGTAGGTCGATATAGGTGGTGCAGGCTTAACGATGTGAGGGTCGGGCTTAAAGGGCGGGATCTCTGGCCACTCAGCCCGCCAGTGGACCACAACGCTACCTTGACTAAGAGCATTCGTATGCTTAGCAGCATAGTGCTGAATAACGCCTTCGAACCCAAAGGCCTTGAAGTTAATTTCGCAACCGTTACAGAAGAAGAGGTCCTTCCGATAAGACTCGGTGTGAGGTTTTATCTTTACGTCGAATAGCCACTTCATATTCTCAAGGGTGAGCTTTTGCGTAAATGGCCCTTCTGGAGGGTCTTCAAGCGGCTCTCTGCCGGCAGCTCGTGCCGCGGCTGACTCCTTTTCAATTTCCGCGTAGAATCTTTTACGGACATGTAGAAGAACCTCGGCGGCGAATTGTGGGCTATTATCCGTATCAACCTTTCGACCATCGTTCCAACTATCGCGGATGATCTCGTCAGCAAATGCGGATATCTGCGCGCGTAGCGGCTCCTGAACATCATCCCAAGCCTTGTCGATGAGCTGCTTATTTACTATCGCATTTTCTTCAGTCTGGTCACGTTCTTCAGGAATCGCCGAGACGAGACCGGACTGAGTAGGAGGAACCCCTTGTTCACGTCGTTCACGCTGTTCCGCGGCAGTTCTCTGTACAAGCAAGCGTGGTTTGAGTAAATCCCATGCGTGGTCGTCAAGAGGTGAGATGATTTGGATAGCTGCTTGGAAGGCTGGAATATGTTCTAATACATTGGACGGTAAAGGTGGGTTGAGTTCCATCGCCCGTCGCTCAATTTCTGTGCGACGAGCAGCTTTAAGCTCTAACGCCTCCTCCCGAGTCCGGGTACGAGATCCATTAGATTGAACATTAATTGGTAGCGAAGGAATACCGGCCCCAAGTTCATCTTCTATCATGTTAGTCACAACCGAGGAAACCGAACTGGGATAACTTACGTGGAGAAGTAACTTCGGGTGTACGCGCGGATTGAGGCGCTATTATAACGGAGGCAACATGACCCGAATCAGACGTATGTTGTCCAGCTATACTACTTGAACTTGAAAGGGGGTTGGGGGCTAACGAAGAATCTGCTGAGACTTGTCCCTTATTGTTTGAAATAGCCATACTCAAAACACTATCTGGACTCGTCGGGGTTTGCATCTGAGCTACTCCGCCAGTTGAGGCCCATTTCTCCCATCGCATAGAATCATTAAGTAGTTCTTTTCCTCGAGCCTCTAAGCCTTTTAGCCACTCTTCAGCCGTCGCACCGCCCATTGATTTGGCGGAAAGAAACTCCTGTTTTAGCTTCTCTACGTGTTCGGAGAGGTATACCTTAGTGACTTGCATATCTGGTCGGAATACTCCTTTCTGAAGCGCGTCTGGTGAAATTATGTGCTTCTCGTTGGTGATAAAAGTGAATGGTAACGCCGACGTCAGTAGGGAGGGCGTCGAAGAAAGTAGCAAATCAATCTCCTTGTGAGATAATGAGATAATATTCTCGTAGCTTAGGAGTATGTACATACCTTCATTGTCTTCTCTACAAGACAAGATTCGCAGCTCCGAAGCGCAAACGGCCAAATTGGTTGGTGTCTACGATTGCTCTGGTTATGGGACGAGTTTGCCGACACCAAATCGGTTTCACCACAGAACTGACATCTTCTTCCACAAGCAAGACGCCACATGTAGAGCTCGGTCTTCTGCTGCAGTGGGGTTGGCATCCTCGGCCAGAAACGCCTCCTAGAAAGTTGCCATATAGCATCAGGCTTAAGTAGCCGGGAAGAGGATTGGGAAAGAGAGGGTGGGAATTTACACTGGTAGGGAGAGGACGGATCGAGATATACGCTGAACAACTTATTGACGCACAACAAATTGCCTAGAGCTCTTGGAGGAGTGAAAATAAAGACGCGATGCCATATTTCGGCAGGGAGTAGAGATTTGTCTAACGGACAGGTCACAATGGACGGGGTTTGATTAGAACACTCATCGTCTAGCTTTACTTTCTTGATCGAGACGACTGCATGACGAGTATAATCTGCCTCTTGAGACTTTCGCTTCCTAGAGATATCCTGATTGTGCTGGATAGCGGGAACTGGTAGTTGAGCTTGAGTCGAAATATGTTCGCTACCAGTTGAAATCAATGAATTATGCACGTCCTCTGGTTCAGAATCAGACATAGAAACATCAGATTCTTCACTGCTAGAGTCTAGAGGAATTTCATCTTCCTCGGCTGAATATGGAACTGAACCGAGCGAGTGTTTAAACACACCTCCGGATCCCCTGCTGAGATCCATGCCTTTCCGCCAAGGGGGCTTGCGAACTGACCGACTTGCTACACCCAGAGGCAAATAGTAATCCGCACCTAATGTGATTAGTATCAGCTAGTACCGAAATTCAGATTGACGTGGTGAGCAACAGGTTATGTAGAAGCCAATAACACTTGTCGGAAATGGTTGAGATCGAAAGCAATTGTTCATTGAATATACGCACTCTCAAGGCTCGTCACACTTTCGATTGAAAATGTGGCTCCTTCAGAGGTAGGTAAAATGCGAAAAACATGAGAAGATGGGCTACTGGTGCAACATGGAAATCGACGTGGGAGGGCTATTAAGGCGTTGACCGCCAGAATTATCCTGAGGTAGGATAAGGTAAGATAAAGTACTGGGAGTCTGGATTTCAGAACAGGCTGAGAAGGGTTGAGTTATCAAAGGCAGCTTGCCATGCTAATAAGCGCGAGACAAGATAGAGGCAAGAGTATGGAATCTATGAAACGTATCATTCCCTAGCATTTTCCTTAGACAAAGCTGGGAGATGTTAAAATAGGCGGTAAGAGGTTGTAGAAGTTGAGTTGTAAGAATCGCGATGTACGGTAACACGCGAGAGTTAGACGGAAGTTTAAGCTTGGGAGGCTCCACAATAGGCTAGGTACTTCGTAAGTGCCTACATGTAGTGGATACAGCTTACTAACAGCATTCAAGCACAACCATAAATGACAACCGTAAATCAAATGCATGTGCAAGTCAATTCCAGTCAACTGCACACACATGCATTAATGTACACCATACCATCTGGTGCCACCCGGTAATTATCCGAACCGTCGCCCTTGACAGCCGACATGAATTAAAGTGGTACCGTGTTACTCAGTGCGTGTTACTGTACCTACACCCTCTCATAACGTCTAATAATTGCCCCTCCCCCACCATTCTAGGCTTCGCATTCTTTTTCGTTATCGTTAGATTCAGAGCATCATCAACAACAATAACAGCAAAGCTAACACTATAGATTTCGTCGCTATTCTTTACGCTTATAACGCCTGATTCAAGATGGCTGCGTCCGACAAAATCTTCTCCCTTGAAGGGAAAGGCCTGAAGCTAGATACGGCTCAGGATCTCGAGGCGCATATCGGTCCGCTAAGGGCTATGGACGATGTTGAGGAAGTGCGCATCCTGGGAAACACTCTAGGTGTCGAAGCCTGCAAGCTTCTTGGAGAAGTCTTGGCTACCAAGAAGTCGCTGAAGGTAAGACATACAAGATATTAGATATTATATATTATATATTTAGAGAGGATGCTAGTACAAGGAAAAAGAGCCTTACTAACAACGCTGCTACTTATGTAGGTCGCAAACCTGGCTGACATATTTACGGGTCGCCTGCTAAACGAGATCCCTGAGGCCCTCTCCTCTCTGCTCACCTCTATCCTCAACTTGCCCAATCTTCGTACCATCAACCTGAACGATAATGCTTTTGGTCTCAACACCCAAGCGCCCTTGGTCGCTTTCCTGTCTAGCCACGTGCCACTCCAGCATTTATACCTCAACAACAACGGATTAGGACCTCATGCCGGTATACTCATCGCCGATGCGCTCTCAGAGCTACATGCAAAGAAGGAGGCTGCTAGAAAGGCCGGACAAGACGTTCCCCATCTCGAGACCGTCATCTGCGGTCGCAACCGATTGGAAAATGGAAGCATGCTTGCTTGGGCCAAAACCTTCAGCCTTCATGACCGGGTTAAAGAAGTCAAGATGGTCCAGAACGGTATCAGGAAAGAAGGAATCGAGCAGTTGCTCACCTCAGGCCTGAATCACGCTACCGGGATCAAGATTCTAGATCTACAAGACAACACATTTACTATCAAGGGCGCGAGAGCGTTAGCAAAGGTTGTCCCTCTCTGGACAGACATACAAGAGCTTGGAATCGGCGACTCCCTACTTGGCGCCAAGGGTGGTGTCCTCCTCGCTGATGTCCTTTCCAAGGGTCAAAACCAGAAGCTCGAGACGCTTCGCCTACAATACAACGACATCACAGCCGTAGGCGTCAAGGGCTTCGCATCGGCGGCCAAGGCCGGTCTCCCGGCGCTAAAGCGGATCGAACTAAACGGCAACAAATTCTCGGAGGACGACGAGTCGATCCTAGCCCTACAAGAGCTACTCGACGAGCGGAAGGAGAAGCACGGCGGCGATGTCATAGATGAAGACACCTGGGGCGTCGACAGCCTAAGCGATCTCGAGGATCTCGACTCGGAGGAGGAAGAAGAAGAAGAGGAGGAACCCTCTACGGAAGAGAAGGCCGAGAAGCTAATTAAGGAGGCCGAGGAGGCTCAAGAACAACCCACGGTGCAGCTCAAGGACGTCGACGTCGACGCCTTGGCCAAGAAGCTGGCGCAGACCGGGATCTAGCTAGCTAGATAAAAAATGCATACCTACCTCCTAGCCAGGTAGGTACATATAGATAGTTATGATTCCCTACGCAGGCGCCGCGCAGAAACGGAAGAGAATAGGGCTTGAAGATACCCCCCCAAACTATTACATACACAGTTACATACATTCCACTACACTAGAGTAGAAACCAAGATCGATATTGGCTCTGATTTACGCCCAAGCGGGAAGGTGATATTGATCTCGCATAGGCCGTTTGCAAAAAGAAACTAGTCATTCGATCGATGCATCTGTGACTGAAATGGCCCAAATGTGGTACGCGGAACACGTATGCTGTACGCTGTATGTATAGACATGTATAGATAGCTTGGCCTGCCCATCCCATCCATTCATCCATCCGCCCTACATACCTCCACCATGTATCCTATCCACCAGTCCACCTATCCATCCCATCCACCTTGACCCGTTCCAGCACACCACCCACCGAGCCAGACTACACTCCATACCCATCCATCTCCAATCCTACGGATCAGTATGTATTATACATACATACATACATACCTATACACCATACAACCCGGAGAAGAAGCTCCCCATACGAGACACGATAAATGCTGCTGAATGTAGGTACTAGAAGAAAAAACGTAAGAGTAGCATGGTCTGCGCTATATGTACAAAATATGTGCGCCCTCAAAAGCGTTTCCCGACTCGGTCCCCGCCTGTGCATATTAGAACAGACGACACACGCCGAACGAATAAGCAACTAGCAAAACTAGCAACCCCTCGAGGGAGTGAGAATCGCGGGCAAAGGCGGGCCAACTTAGCATTTTTGGCCGTTCCCCCTCCGTCTAATTGTACATGTACAGATGAGATGATGGGGCAAAGTCAGATATCGCATTCTTCTCTTCTACGTGAAAACCCAAACCTTTTTTTTTTTGCCAGGTGGAGATAGTCCCGATTTCTAGTACAAGGTGATGGTGTTGGCTGGTGGCGGTAGTGTGGTGGGCCGTTGGAAAAGGTGCCCTATTATAACACTTCCCCAATGATTTTAGCTGCTTCCCGGTAGGTCTGCAGTAGCTTCTCGCATTTCTCGCGCTCCTTCTTGACACCGTCGTCTTCGTAGAGGAGCTCCTCAAAGAGAGTTTCTTTGTAGAGTTCGCTGACAAGTCTGTTCTGCACCACGTCTTTGCAATGATTGACGAGTAGGTGCATAACAGCTTTGGGAACTTGGTCAGCAATGGTCTCGCGGACAATGTTGAAATACGAGGAAATAAGTGCGCGGATTAGCTCCGTCTCCATTGCCTCTCGATCGCTTAAAGCCGGTTCCACATCGCCCTGCAAGTAAACGTGTCAGTTGGGACAACAAACCAAGCTACAAAATCTGACTTACCGACTGCGGCCCAAAACCATACCCGGCAGCTTTCGGGCTCTCAACCTCCTCGCGGGCTAACGATGAGGATAACGCCGGTCGATGAGTTAACTTGTCTTCACTTCGTCGAATGCTTTGACTGAAAGTGGGTTCCACGCCCTGGCTGACATGGCGCGGAAGTGCATTAGGAGCCCCAGCTCCAGAAGCTTGGATTGGCTGGCCATCCTTTCCAAAGAAGTAATTCAAGAACGAATCGCGAGCAGTTCCAACTGCCTGTTGGTTGAACCGGTTAGGTGAGTCCGAGCGCGAACCATTCATCGCGGCGGCGATGCTGGAAGTTCCATTTTCGCGGAGGATAGGCGACATGCTTCGCGATCCTATTCCAGCCGGCTTTCGCGACTGAGAAGCGTCATGTCTATCGTGATCAGGTTCTTCCTCATCGTTCGGTGTCTCAGTACCATTTGTTCCAAATTCCTTAAGCCGCTTCTTTTCCCGGCGTTCCCTTTCTTCCTGGATTATCCTCTTTCTTTCGCGTTCTTGCTTATTAGTAACCACGTGGCTCATGGCTGCAGCGGCCCCTAAGAAATTAGGATGGTTTGTATTGATGTAAGCCCGTTGAATAGAGATGAGGGACTCGACGTAAGACGATGACGGTCCCAGCCGCTCTCTCAGAAGATCTGATACGACCTCAATAAGTTTGGCCTGAAGTCTAGGATACCGAGAGAGTTCTGTCGAACCGCATGTGTGGCATATTTTAATCAGCTCTTCGTATACTAGCTCGACGCATCGTTGACTAGGGAGCTCTAATAGCTTAATTTGGGGCTTGACGAGTAAGTCGAAGGCCATTTCCGGTACAAATAAGCTTGGGCGAGGACCTGTCGAGTTGCGAATGGCGGTCCTGATGTCGAGAGCAGAAAGGTTGGAGGTGGGATCGATTGTCTCCAATGCACTGCCGAACACCGAATTGAAAATATAGTAGATCCGCGCGCCTCCAGACAGCTCTTTAGTTGATATGTCGGTAGATGTACCGTCGATGGACGAGATGAAAGAAGTAGCAAATCGAGTCATAAGCTGAAGAATCATAGATCCTCGGTGCTCCTTTCCGCTAAAATGCATATCCCCATAGCTTGCAAGCTCCTGCTGGGTTTGGCCCATCAGCGTGTTGAGACGTGCCTTGATGTCTGGTAGCCGTTCCCGAATGTGTGCCATAAGAGTTTGATTAAGGGTCTTGGCTAGATATTGAGTCCCGCATCGCATAGCGATAGTTCGGTAAGCAGGATGGTGTCGGAAAAATTCCGACTCTGCCTTAAGAGCATCTTCCATCGGTCGATTGCCCTGAATATCCTGCTGTGATCGATTAACCACACCGATAAAGCCTAACTTTAACGGGTAGACTCGACCAGATAAGATGTCTAACGCATTTGTACCGTGATCCATCAAGTCTACCTTGGTGAGAACTCCGATCGTCCGACGGCCCAGAGGATCAACATGTCTGGCAAGTTTTAAAGCTTCCGAATTAACAATGTCGACATTTGCAGGAGAGACGGCGAGAATGATACTGTTGGGCTTGGCAATGTATTCAGAAATGAGGGTTCGGGTCTGTTTCTCAATGTCGGCTGGTTGATCGCCGATGGGAACCTATCGCTCGTCGGGTCAGTCACCAAATAAATAATTATTCTTTTAAGGCGGTGAGCATACCTTGGTCAGACCTGGCAGATCAACCAGGGTTAAGTTAAGAACATGAGGGGAATAGATTTTTAGATTGATAGGTTGTCTGTTGATGCCCTTATTATTGCCGGCAACACGAGAAGTTTCATTCTCAATCTCGCGCTTGACATCTGCAAAATCGGTAAACCTTCGACCGGGTGTATGATGGAACTCAGCCCACTCGGAACGGCGTGCTTGAGTGGGACTCTTGTAAGCGGCCTGTAGATCTGGTTCGGACGGGTCCTCTTCGACGTTGATTAATTGCAAAATTAACGGACGACGGGTCACGATGCCGCTTCCTCGAGGCAAAAAATCGCGGCCGACAATGTTCTCAAGCACTGAAGACTTGCCAGCTGATTGCGAACCGACGACAACCTATGGTTTAGACGAGAGTAAGCAGTCGTGCGAGTATGAATCCTGAATAATAATAATAATAAAATAATAAAAAGGAAGCAGGAAGTCTTAGAGGCGCAGGACATACGATTTGAGGTAAGTCGAGGGAGTCTGTGCCAATTGTATTAAAGACTAGGTCCTGAAGCTGGTTCACAATCCGCAACAGGTCGTCTCCTAGAGCAGCCATTTTTGAAAACGTTGAGCTCTCTATCGGCCTTAAAAATGGCAAATTAGAGAATAGTTGATCTCTTTCTTTTTTTTCTTTAACTTGTGATGCTATCGCCGACAACAAAAAACGGTGTTGGGTACCGGTTTATCTGCCGTCAACAAGGATCGCGGGCGCCACCGGTAAGACAAGCTCTCGACCGATAAAACACAAGAGACCGCACGACGCAGGTGAAGTGATTATGGTAGACTAGATAAAAGGCTCAAATTCAGCGATGAGGGAAAAAAAATGTAGAGTTGATGTGTTGCAGCCCAGTGGGTGCAAAACGACGAGGCGTTGAAAAATATGGAAATATCTACTGCTAAAAGTTTCCATATGCACATACCAGACTGGTTCTTATTACATTTCATGCGCATATGTGAAGTACATTATGTACCTTTGGGTCCTGCACTTGGAGGAGAAATACATGGTGCTACACTAAGTTACACTGAATACTAATACACTGAAGCTGGTAGGTAGCGTACCTCAAAGTACCCATTTTCGGAGTCCCACCCTTCGTGTCTTTTATTGCCCAATCACCTCACGTCCCATTAGGTCAGATAGGCAATACCGAAGTACGTATCTAGATAGCTCTTGAGGTACCTAACATTCCGCATGCATATAAAAGGGCACGGACAAGCTTGACCCAAGCATGTAACAAGGCATCTACGGGAAGATTTTCTCCCAATCGCCAACTCGGCATCCACTTAGATCCCTACAACTCCATTATCCTTGGCTATGTCCATACTTCCTTCTCGTACGTTCTGGTGGGAAAGAAATATAAAACCGTCTATCGCGGGAGAATTGTAGTGGCAGATCGCATTCCAATCATTTCACGATGCCCAAGACAAGTTTTCTATGGGGTGTAGGAATAGTATGGATAAATTATTATTATATGTGACTACCTAGCTAATAAAGTTATAACCTCGGGTATCATATATACCTAACCTACACAGTTGCTATGCAATATTATATAACGCAATTCCCCTTAAAGAAAGTCATATAATCATGAATATGATTATAATACAGTGGCTCCCTTAGACTCTATATATATTCCCCCCAAATTCCAGGTCGACGAACAGTGAAAGAATATCTTACATGCCTTGTTCTGAGCTTATGAGCTTTCAGTATTCCGTGTCCCGCGGATATGGCTCAAAAGCTGCTGAAGCCTTCGCACTGCCTTTAACTTCGAAGGCGAGGCTTCTTCACGAGGCTCCGAAATGTTAGTAAGCTCCTCTCGAGCCACTTTTACGAGAGACCCGAGCTCTCCCCATACTTCATCCGTATAACTGGAGAGGACCCCTTGCCACTGGTTAACCCAGATATTCTTAGCTTCTTCCAAATCTGATGTGCCGAGCAAGTCAGCATATTCCTGTATGTTACTACTATTCGACCCAAGACCAGGAAAGAAGTTCAGAGCATCGTCCCACTGTCCCCTTGAAGTATGTTCCCCGGATTCGCCATTCTCGAAAAGATGATGACGTAGAGCTGCTTGTTCGATGTCCGTCAAGGCCGTATCTATTTCCTCAACTTCGTCATACCCTAAATCGAGAAAATCAACAACGTCCATGCCGTCGGTTGTGTTGATTATTGGTCTAGTTTGCTGTGTCCCCCCAAGTGCAGGTTCGTGTATCTGCCCGTATCTCCCGATCTTGATGTCGCTAGGCTCCGTTTCTCCTAACGTAATTGTGTTGTTGAGAAAGGATGAGAAACCGGATTCACCTAGGACTTCTTGTTCCTGTCTCGGTATAGATTTAAACGTATCTGGAATCGTCCCCTGGGCAAAGTTATTCCTGTACATTGACGCCTCATTCACACCCGCGCTTCTCCCGGACCTGGAGGATTCAGCTTTATCTGAGGGCAAGGCGTCTGATAGAGAGGCGCCGCTAGGATGCCGTAAGACGATTTCATTAGTGAGTTTGCCCGCGGATGCGCTTAGTCTTGATATGAATGAGGTCGTGTCTGAGGTTACTTCAACAGAACTTGAATGCCCATCCTGCGCTGTTGATTCGGACGACAAGTTATCTGTTTTCGTTGCAATACCTTTGCCTTTTGCGTCCCGAGGAGTTGTGCTCTCGCTATCATCTTTATCCATCGTGGTTATGCCTACTCTCTCACCGGCGCAACTCAGTAATTATGACTATATCCAGCTGGAATAAGCTCTATAAATAGAAGTATGATTGAGTCGAAACTTCATAGACTCTCTACTCAGAAGAGAACCCGGAGGATATGAATCAAAAATGAATATCTTATTACATTTGTAGACCTGTAAATTATACCTAGGTAGTTATTAAATATATTCATACCTATGGGCATATAGGTGTAAGTGAAGTCTTCGGTAAGGTTCGGCTTTGGGGATGGAGAGCACGGGATATAATGATGTAGCTCAAAATTACCTAGGTACAAGGTATGTTAACCTTTAATCGAGTTTTAGCCGCCTTTGTTCGCATGTGACGACAAAGACGTCGATTTGTTTATCTAATCCTACAAGATCCTCATGAACTCATATATACGTATAGGTAGTTATAAGATAAGAGTACATGCATGTATACTTTAGAGTTTACATGAAGCACTTAATAATTACACGAATATTTCCTGTTACTATACAAGATCTCATATAAGCTTTAATTTAAAGCCCGACCACGTATTTAGGTAACATCCTAAAGAAATAAATCATCAAGAGTCGTGGTGAATTGTGCCACGTGCAACACTTCCCGATCCAGTTACAAAGAAGCCGGATTATTTCGTAAAAACGGGCGCAATCATACCTACAGAACTTGACATGCTTACGGATAGAAAATTCTGAGCATTGTCAGGGGTTGACTATTAATATACATAATGTGGTGGTTGTAACTCATACATGCTTAAATGTAGAAGACAAAAGTATACAGAGCCGCCCCTCCCACAAGAATGACTGTCTTCATTTTGTTCCACCTATGTCATACTTCGTATATACCTAAACTTGAAATCGTTAAGGCAGGTTATGCAGGCCACTTCAAAATAACTATGCCTTTTTAGATCGGTGGACATCTCCCGGTCAGCAGTATATGTAGGCAACTGTCTAAGCACATAAATGATTAGTCGTCTACATAGGTAGGTATTTATCCTCGAGTCCTTTTCGAGGCTCTTCTGCCTTGTTAAATATACATGTACATAGACAGTTCTTGCGCTTTCCTAGCAGCTTGGTACCTGCAAGGGGGTACTTTAGGTTAGGTATTCTTGCCCTGGGGCTCCACACTTTCTCCATGCCCGCAACCTTGAGTGTGGTACTTGAACATTTATACAAACCTGCTAAATTTGTACATGTAAGCTTAGAAAAGAATATGTACTACAATATTTGGCGCATATAATATAAGTGAATAAGTACATTTATATATGCTCCAGAAAATACGGTACGTAAGATATAGTACATCTAATGCACGTAGGATGTTAGAATCAATAGTTTCATTGTAAATTATAGATTTCTTTTTGCTTAAGACAATAGAGATACTCTCGCGTGTTAGATGGCAATTCGGTACATAAAGCACTTCTGTAGATACATAAGGTAAGCATCATCTCGTAGCTGCCCAGGTACCAAGATACAGCACTGAGTGCAGACCCAAAACCGGCAAGCCCGCACTGACTGACATAAGCCGACCACGCATCTTAGGTACGCATCTACGCATCTACGACCATCAATCAAATCACCCTTCCCACTTCTTCCCCCCAAATCCGATCCAGACCTGCTAACCTAGACCCTTGCGCATAACCCATAACCCATAACTGATAACCCATAACGTACTACTTACTGCTAGGACCTACTCGCATCACATCACTCACCCAAAAAAACCAACGACTACGCTTTGCCGTCATTTTGCAGCAGCTCGTGTATCCTTTTTTCCCCATCATTTCCCCCCTCCTGATAGCCAGCGGGTGCTTCTGACCACATTTAATTGTTGTGCATGACTTCTTGATTGACTTGAAGTCTCATATTAGCACTATTCCTTGATCTCGCCCACCGCAAAGTCATTGGGAGCGAGCGCACTATCCGCCTAAAGGTCCTTTGCGTCTTTCTAACCCTCCACGCCGTCAATACGTACAACACCCCGCCGCCCTAGACCCGCCCCTCCGACTACCTTTTCCCACATCCTAGCCTACCACCAGCCTACCAAGCCTTACCTGTGTCCAGCAGCCGCAAGATACCTCGACACGCTTCTCGGTCTATCCTCACCTCAAGTCGCGTATCAACCCTCCATCGCCCATCGCCCATCGCCCATCGCCGAGCCCTCATTAGTTGCGGCCGCGATACGCTAGTCCATCCATCTACCGCATACACTTCCTCTGAACTGAAATACGGGTCGGAGCTTAGGTAGCTTCACACCCAACCCATCGCGAATATGGTGGAAGGAGATTCAAACTCTCCCACCTGGAAGTTCACCCAGTAAGTTTGTACAAAGGATCTTTCACGATTTTTACTCGACTCGTAACTTTTATCGCCACTATCACGTTCTACTCGCAGCAAACTAGCTCTCATGCATCTACCCTCTATGGCTGTCAGCTATCTACTTGATAACAATTACTGACTCTGGTTGCTCGCTTCTAGGTGCTTCGGTGACAAAGGAGATGTTGAAGATATCACAGAAGGTATATTTCCCATGCCTCTTATTTTGACCCAAAACTTTCCTGGGCTTCTCTGAGCTTGAGATCGCACAGCCCCTCGACCTCTCTCCCATCAATAGACCAAGCATGTTGGATGTTCGTATGCTTACATGAGATTCTTAGCCGATATCATATCAACCGTCGAATTCGACCATACCGGTAATTACTTAGCAACAGGAGACAAAGGCGGCCGAGTTGTTTTGTTTGAGAGGAACGAGACGGTCAGTTAATATCCTTGACACGTCACGAAGAGCAATTTAGTCTAATCTAGTCTATAGAAAAAAACTTGTGAATACAAGTTTCACACCGAATTCCAGTCGCACGAGCCCGAATTCGACTACCTCAAATCTCTAGAGATAGAAGAGAAGATCAACAAGATTAAGTGGTGTCGTCGTCAGAATGCTTCTCACTATTTGCTCTCCACCAACGACAAAACGATCAAGCTATGGAAGGTTTTCGAGAAGTCACTAAAAGTAGTAGCTGAGAACAACTTGTCTCACGACCTGACGCCGGGCAATGTCGCTGGTGTAGGAGGAGGTGCTCCTAGAGCTCTTCCTCAGTCACATTTCAAGACCGCTGGAGAGTTGAAGCTACCACGACTGACGCATCACGATACTGTCGTCGCTGCGGTTCCCCGACGTACGTACGCGAATGCTCACGCCTATCACATCAACAGCATCTCGGTCAACAGCGACGGGGAGACCTTCATAAGCAGCGACGATCTGCGGATCAACCTCTGGAATCTGAATATTCAGGACCAGAGTTTCAACATTGTCGACATCAAGCCTGCGAATATGGAGGAGTTGACCGAGGTCATTACTGCTGCCGAATTCCACCCCATTAGCTGTAACTGGTTTATGTACGCAAGCTCGAAGGGCACCATCAAGCTAGCAGACATGCGGGAGAGTGCCCTTTGCGATCAGCATGCAAAACGTATGAACCCTTATCTATACATTTTATAAAGGCGACGTCAGCTAACGACGTTATTTAGTTTTTGAACAAGAAGAGGATCCGTCGTCAAGATCGTTCTTTTCCGAGATCATATCCTCCATTTCAGACGTGCGCTTCTCATACGACGGCAGATACATCTTATCTCGAGACTACCTCACCGTCAAGATCTGGGATGTCAATATGGAACGCCAACCAGTCAAGACCATACCTATTCACGAGCACCTTAGGCCACGGCTATGTGATACGTACGAGAACGATAGTATCTTCGACAAGTTTGAAGTTGTTTTCTCGGGTGACGCCAAAAATGTCATGACGGGAAGTTATAATAACAACTTCATGATCTATCCTTCGGATCCCGAGAAGGAGATCGAGGTCGTATTACAAGCAGACAAATCAGCCTTCAAGGCGAAGAAAGTAGGTATCCCGACACCTATCAACTCGTCGACGAGCCCCACAGCGACCAACGGCGGTAAGAAGGGCGGATCGCGTGCGGGTAGCCCGGCGGCCGGAGCGGGTCAGGGACAGAGGATGCGGAAGGAGACAGACGCAGATCAGATTGACTTTAACAAGAAAATCCTGCACATGAGTTGGCATCCATTCGAGGACAGTATCGCCATTGCTGCAACAAACAACGTAAGTCATGATATTTAAATGTTCCGAGAATGTCAGCGGTAGCTAATATGGTACAGTTATTCGTCTTTTCGGCCCTCTAAGGGCGTAACGGTGCTTTCCGGTAGCGGCCGGATATTTCGCAGCCCGGCGTTCCTGCTCTGCGGAAGAACCTCCCGATTCGAAGTGCGGTAGGGATGTGCGTCGCCATTGCCAGTGGTCTGTCTCCTTGATAGTTGCGCGGTCCTTTTGGACGTAGATGACTATTCGTAGTATTTGTGAGACTGCTGGCTTACCCAACGAAAGTGGATGCGTTGTAAATGAGAACACGTTGGGTTTACGACACAAAAGGTGCATACGGGAGGTTAACCTTACCCTAGGCCTAGCACGCTAGGCGGTCGGGAATTGTAGTAAAGACATGTTGGGAGGACTGAAGCATGGCCATTCAGCAGCGGAATCCCATAAGGAGCCAGTTGCATCCATGTCGGCAGACATGGGGCCCAATATCATGGCATAGACTCTACAAGGCAGACTAAAGACCATAAGACGGGACTCAAGACAAATGAGATCTGAAGCATGTATAATTGTGTGCCCACACCTCCCTCGAATATCTGATGAACAAGTTTACGTGTTGTTCTAGCGTGGACATAATATCCCTAAATCCCTAAATCCGTAGTAAAAAATTAACCCAGTAATGCTTCACTATTTTAGCACCCACCAGGGGTGGTTTTCTGAATTGCCGTCGTGTTTGTTAGGTCGATATAAATCTTGATTTGGGGTTTGGCCAAAATAAAAGTAGTAAGACATGTGGGCATAGAGCTATATAGGCCACCTATGTATATTTCAGGGGTGAGTCGGCAGCTGTATTCATGGTTAGCATTATAGACGTATAATGAAGTCTTTAACCTAGATAGTTATAAAAAGAAAACATCTTCAACGTTAGTCATTGCTGTATAAGTAACTTCTATGGATGACGCATGGGAGTTCGGAAGCAACCCTCCGCGGGCGGCAAGCCGAAAATCCGGGTATGAGTATCCGGGCTATCCCACACGTTCCTTATTAGGTACGTAATATAAAGAACATCCTAATGGGGATTTCATAGTTTCTATACGGATATATAGGATAGGATATTGGTAGAATACGGGTTGTGTTTAGCTAGGTACCTATGTAGTAGGCCTATTGTCAACGTTGTTATACATGGGTACTTCGGTACTTACCGTACGCACCTAAAGCACAGCGTAACCTAAAATACACGTAGGGAATAAGTGGGCCTTTACGAATGCCTAGTTCGGACAAGGCGCCGGGTTTGAAAAGCTTATTAGGTTAGATAGGACTACGGGCAGGACGGGTACCTAGATATGCACAGGTGTCGCTTCCTACTGTCAGATTGCGACGATTTGCGCAGCTGCGTACTACCTAATGTACAGCGGACGCCGGACAGTGAAACCTGTCAAGTGCATGTTGCTTAAAAGTGCGCAGATGCTTTAATTGCTTAGGTCCAGTGCTTATACAATCAAGCCACATCCATTGGACCATTGGATCATCGGACGGACGAGACGGACAAATTAAACAAAATTAACACAAACTCATGTCTACTTGTTTCCCCAAGGTATTCCCAAGGTGTTCCCCCAAGAAAACTATCAAAATCAAATAACTAGATGCAAGGAATCGCCATAGTAGCGGATGACTTATTCCCGCTCTTGGTACGATCTTGACCTTAAACAACCTTTTAGTGGTCTTCCATCTAAAATAGCCGGGAGCAACTGACACATTGCCGCATCCCGCAGGAACAAATCTCAAGGCGTAAACCATCCTTATTCTATCTTTTCCCTCCCGTATCCTCAACCTTCAACCTCGATGACGAGCCGGTCGACACCTCGGAGACGCCAAACCTTGCGAGATTCGCATGCCGCTTCGCGAAATGGCGCTACCATGACACCCAAGGTCATCAACGCAGGGCCTTCTCTCGAGAAGGCTGAGCTGTACGGAATAGACGACCAACGCCCAACCTTCTCTAAGCTTATGGGTCTCGCCGGCCGTATTTTTATCGAAACTATTCCGCAATGGCTAGCCGTCGGGGCAATGCTCAGCCTAATCTTTGGCGGCTGTTGTTCGAACGTGAGATCGATCAGGCCCTAGCTTTTTTTGCCGCCCGTAATGAAGAGCTAACATTGTACCGCACTTCGCAGGTCTTTGCTCTCGAGGCCATTATTAAGTAAGCTCCTGCAGGCTACAATCCGGGTTTTCGGCTGCGTTCCTAGCTAATGTCAACGTCGTTAGGGTTGAACCGGCGAGTGGTATGGCAGTTCTACAATACATGACTCACCGGGAACAAAACTAATAGCTTTTGTTTGTAGGAACGCTTTTGACTTTCGTGCAGTTCCTCTTCGTTGCTGTCACTGGATACGTCTCGCAGTTCGATATTACGCGCCCACCCTTCTTCGTGAAACCGAACCGAGTCCCGATCCGTCGCTGGCTGATCAACATCATTCTATTCTTTAGCATCAATGTATTGAATAACCACGCCTTCAGCTACGACATTTCCGTACCAGTTCACATCATTTTACGATCCGGAGGCAGCATTACAACAATGATCGCCGGGAGTTTATATGGAAAGAGATATTCTCGCATTCAGATTGTGGCTGTTCTCTTGCTTACGGTTGGTGTTGTCACGGCCGCGTGGTCAGACTCCCAGTCCAAGGCAAGAATCCTCTCTTCTACCCTTCAGTGCTTGTAACTAACCATTAGCAAGGGAACGTCCACTTCAAATTCTCAAGAAAATGTTCCCAAATTTAGCACTGGTTTGGCGGTCCTCTTGATCGCACAAATTTTATCGGCTATTATGGGATTGTACACGGAAGAAACGTATAGGATCTACGGAGCGCATTGGAAGGAGAATTTGTTCTACTCTCATCTGCTTTCATTGCCGCTATTCTTACCATTTTCACGGTCTCTGGTCAATCAGTTTATGCGTTTGGCCGATAGCAAACCACTTGCGCTCCCGTTACTAGCAGAGCACGTGAACTTGTCGACTGTCTCAGCTAATGTGCGGCATCATATTGAAGGAATTTACATTCCCAGTCAGGTGGCCTACCTTGCTCTCAACGTTTTAACACAGTATGCCTGTATCCGAGGCGTTAATCTTTTAGCTGCCGTGTCATCCGCATTGACTGTTACCATTGTGCTCAACATTCGCAAGCTAGTCAGTTTACTGCTTAGCATATGGCTTTTCGGGAATCGGTTGGCCACTGGAACTCTAATAGGTGCCATCGTGGTGTTTTCCGCAGGTGGCTTGTACTCGTTAGATTCTAAGAAGCCAACTCCGAAGCCGAAGGCGAGCAGTGGGAAAGCGGGATAGTCAGCTAGGATACATTGGGGTTCTATACGCTGCCTAGCTTCCCTCGCAGACCTGGTAATACAATGCAGTAGCAGCGCCTACTAAGCGGATTGTTCTTATAATATGCACTGCTCTTGAAGTGAATTACGGTCCCTATGGAGTGAAGTTAAATATCTGGCCGACTCTAGATAAGAAAGCAGTGGCAGACGATGCTAGTCGATCTCATGAGCTATAAATGTTTTGTCGTTAAGCGGCCAACTAACTGAAAATAGATGCTGTTTGCATCTCGTGGCCGAGGCCTCGGTGTATTAGAAACGGCATAATTGCACACAGGATATCATATTTAACTAGTTTAACTCCCGTACACTCCACCATCGTCTCGCGTCTCATTTATAAATGGACTTTTTATATTGGCGAAAATATTATAAAAGATAAGTATATACATGTAAGTACATAGCCTTTTAGAGGCCGGTACTTAGCTGCAAGGTACAAAGATATATTTATATATACATCTGTAATGACATGGGTGCACTTTACGGATCCGTACCGGACCATACATTACGTAGGTGGGATTCTAGGTATCCTATCAAAAGTCTTGAACATCTACTAAGCTTGGTAAAGCTACGTGCGAGTAGAAAAAGATTGCACAGTCTCGTTTAGCTAGTATCGCTATAAATATAGTGATAAGCTACCTAGATTTAGTAAACGGGCTAGGTACCTATCCCAACCTTCAACTTACTATTGATAGGTACAATATCAGTAAGTCAAGAAACATTGTATAAAATACGGTGCTAGGGATCTCAACATGTGCAAGACTTTTGACCTAGACCTTCGTACCTTATCAGGCTAATGCCCCTCCTCTGCCCCTCCATTATGTACCTAGGAAGTTAAAAATATCAATACGGTACGCGTTATATCCGACGAGACTAACCACATGGGACATGAAATAACTCAAAAATTAGAGTACATGCAGGTACATACATACCTAGGTACGGAATACTACTACCCACAGACCAGGAGTATGCGATATACTTATCACCCCCACACGAATACCTACCTATAATTGTACGTGTAGATACCCTTGCAAATAGAGGTAGGTAGATAGCTTTCATCAATCACTCATCTAGATACCTGTTACGGCTGGCAATGGGGCATCCCGAGTCCTAGTGTTGATATCCTAAGAGGCACAAATAACTATTTGCGCAGGCAGAGCGCGAAAAAGAAAAAGGAGGAAAGACAAGAATAATAAAATTTCTCACCTCATTCCAATCTATATACTCCCGCATCAACGACGATCATCACGATATCGACCGATCAAGACACCCCTGATACGGAGTCTTCAGGACAAAGCACCAACCCCTTCGTAGGCCCACCGTCGGACTTCGCAAACTCACTCAAGGGAGCCAATACACGCATCTATATAATGGCTGGAAACATTGCGGATATGCTTGCCGAAAGCAAGCGCCGGCACGATCAGACCGATGCTAAACTGGATCAAATCTTACAGGCCCTCCAAAGCAAGATGATGACAGTCGGTGTCCAGCAAGACCCATCAGAGGGACAGCCGAAGCGTCAGCAAAAGACAAAATACACGCCAACCCAATCTTCAACAACAACAACAAGCGACCCTAATCCCTTGACGTTCGCCAAGGCCCCGCTCAATCCTATAGACAACGAGCGACTGGCAGATGGCAAGATCAACCTCCATCAGGTAAACGCCGGCACGGGAGCACGCACTGTTGAGGAGGAACGCGTCAAGGCGATATTGCCAGAGGCAGTGCTACCTGCCGAGGCAGATGAGTTCGCGAAAAGCGAACTAACCATCACTTTCCAAAATATACAGAAGGTTTTAGACATTCGTCATAAGTATATCCGCTTGTCACTGCAACGAGACGGCGATAATCCCAAGGATGACCCGAGTTGGGATATTTACCCTCCCCCACCGGAGCCGGCCTGGGTGGATAGTCATGGCGTGAACACCGGGAATAACAGTTTGAGCAATAGTACTGTCTTATCTGCTCAGCCTGGTGCTCAACGTCCTGGTGATTCTGGACCTCCAATTGCAGATGTCCGACCCAAACGAGTATCAAGGAAGCGTAAGCCCGGCCATGACATCGGCGAGGATTTCGAAATGGCAGACATCCTACCCCTTCCTTCAGCGAGTGAGTTCGTCTTTCGCCTCGACGAGAACGGCGTTTACCAAGTCTTTGAAAACGAGGCCGCTGGTGAAGCTAACACGCCGGTGGTGGGAGTACCTACGATTAAAGATTTTTATATGGATCTAGAAGAACTCTTAGCCATATCGTCTGATGGTCCGAGCAAGAGCTTTGCTTTCCGACGACTTCAGTATTTGGAGGCCAAGTTCAACCTATACGTACTCTTAAATGAGTACCAGGAGACCGCAGATACCAAAAAGGTGCCTCATCGAGATTTCTACAACGTAAGAAAGGTTGACACGCACGTTCATCACTCCGCTTGCATGAATCAGAAACATCTCTTGCGGTTCATTAAAAGTAAGATGAAGAAGTGTCCGGACGAATACGTGCTCTTTAGGGATGGTAAGAACCTCACGCTAAAAGAAGTCTTCGAGAGTATCAAGTTGACTGCATACGATCTTAGTATCGACACTCTAGATATGCATGTAAGTCTATGATATAAACTATCAGACATTACTTTCGGATGAAAAACGTGTACTAACCTCGAGCTAGGCTCACACTGATTCGTTCCATCGCTTCGATAAGTTCAATCTTAAGTATAACCCCATTGGTGAATCGCGGCTGCGAACCATTTTCCTCAAGACGGATAACTTCATCCAAGGTCGGTATCTAGCAGAAATTACTAAGGAAGTCATATCCGATCTCGAGTCCAGCAAATACCAGATGGTGGAATGGCGAATCTCGATCTATGGCAGGTCCTTGGATGAGTGGGACAAGCTTGCTGCATGGGTTGTCGATAACAAGTTGTTTTCACATAATGTTCGTTGGCTCATACAAATCCCACGATTGTACGACGTCTTCAAGGGCACCGAATTGATGGACTCCTTTGAACAACTGGTAAAGAACGTCTTCCAGCCACTTTTCGAGGTGACCAAGGATCCAGAGAGCCACCCGAAACTTCACATTTTCTTACAGCGAGTTATTGGCTTTGACAGCGTGGATGACGAGAGTAAGATTGAGCGACGACTGTACAGGAAATTCCCCGTGCCAAGGGAGTGGAACTCTAAACAGAACCCTCCATACAGCTATTGGATTTACTATCTCTTCGCTAATATGACATCGCTTAACTTTTGGCGTCGCCAGCGTGGCTTCAACACGTTCCTGCTTCGACCGCACTGTGGAGAGGCGGGCGACAGCGAGCATTTGGCTGTTGCCGTACTATGCAGTCACAGCATTAGCCACGGATTGCTTTTGAGAAAGGTCCCTTTGTTGCAATATATCTTCTACCTTGAACAAATAGGTATTGCTATGTCACCACTTAGCAACAACGCGCTTTTCTTGGCCTACGAGAGGAACCCTTTCTATCAGTATTTTAGACGTGGACTGAACGTATCACTCTCCACAGATGACCCACTCCAATTTGCGTTTACAAAGGAGCCGTTGATGGAAGAATATGCTGTCGCGGCGCAAATCTACAAGTTGAGCCCGGTCGACATGTGCGAGCTTGCTAAGAATTCGGTGAAGCAGAGTGGCTACGAATATTCTGTCAAACAGCAGTGGCTGGGAGAGAAGTTCAATCTACCAGGAAAGGATGGAAATAATATGGTGAAGACTAACATACCTGATCGAAGAGAAGAATTCAGGTATAATACGTGGGTTGAAGAGCATCGTTTGTGAGTACTACGTAGTCTCTCCCCCCTATCTACATGACACTAACCTTTCCATGGTAGGATCTCGAGTTATACTTCTGCATCTGAATTAGACGAAGTTCTCGAACACCATCCAGAAATTACTTTAACCCAAAACCCCACATCGCCCACTTCATCCGTCATGGCGAACTTCGACGCTAATTCTCACGTCTTCAGCACGGGGAATCTACCGCGCTCGGGATCACAAGCTGATTTTGATACCCACACTAACCGGTCGTTCCCGGCTTCGGGGTCTGGGCTTAATCTTTCAAAGCGGGAATCTTGGCCCCCGGAGGGACTGCGTGACAAGGTATATCCCGAGGATGATGGCGAGAGCGTCGAGGCATGGGAGCATCCATCGTAGTTGGACGCATGAAAGTGATGATATATATATGGGTGCTATTCGCAATGCTTCTAATAAGGCTAGTGGGAAGGAGGATCGGAGTGGGACTAAGATTGTAAAGGGATATAGCTTGATGAGGGTAGACCTTGGCCCATTATGAATGTTTGGTCTGGGAATAACTAGAGGTTGCTTTGATCAAGAATGAATCGACATTAGGTCGGTTTTACTATTATCAAATTTGTTACCGATTAAAATATGGTATCTATTAGGATAGTTTTGAGACTAATTCCAATATGATATTATCTAGGATATAATATATTCAGGTGGAAAAATCTAAGAAATATAGAGAGCATCTTTAATAAGTGCTATTATGTCATAGGTACATATATGTACCCAATATGTTGTGTTTATCGTACATTAGGTACATCCATGTGCATCTGCATAATACAACCATAAATTAGATAAGCTCCTTTTTGTTGTAGTGTATATTAATTACATGCATATACAAACACGTGTATTTACTATATGTAATTAATAGATGTTAGAGCTAGAGAATATTAACCTAGAAGTTCAGCATCAGCGCCAGCTTTCGGAGTGTCTAATTTAGCGCGTTTAGTAATTCCCACGTCTTGGTCCTACCTGTTTAAACGAACCAATTCCGCCTTAATCCGATCGACTCTTCTGTCGACCCTCTTGTGTCCCAGCGACTGCTTCAAAGTCGTGTTACCTTCAACTTATCAAATCTTTCCCTTTCTCTCTTTCTCTCCACCCGAGATACAACTCTACTAAGCTGTCCGTTGGCGTCTGGTGCAGTACTGTTGCGAGGGCATCTGTAACATGTTTGCGTATGGCGACTTCGCAACGTTGATAATAAACCCCTGGGAAATACTTAGTATCCTTGCGCACCTTGCCGCATATCCACGTTTACATCTAATAATCGTCTAAAGGGAGGTTATCTTTGAATCGTTTTGATTTCTCTCTACACTCTACAGAGAACTTAACCCCTTTACTTATAGCTGCTGCTACTTTAACCGACAAACCGCTTCAACCACTTCAACCGCTTCTTCATCTCGAGTTGCGAGAGCCTCGTCATCTTTTCGGACCCTTTACCTCGGCCGCACGAAACCCTGTAACCCTACCCTCGCTTTTAGTCTCGTATGCGATCCTGATACAACTGTAATCGACCCCTCAGTAATAGATTCCTTACAACGAAATTTCCCTATCCACGTTTTCTACCCACCATGGGGTTCCTGGGTGTTTACAAGGCACTCTACGATTATGCGCCGCAATCTGAGGGAGAGCTATCAATAAGTGAAGGCGATATTCTCTATGTCTTGGAGAAGAGTGCGGATGATGATTGGTGGAAAGCCAAGAAGAAGGCTAGTGCCGACGACGAAGATGAGCCCGTCGGCCTAGTACCTAACAACTACGTAGAAGAGGTGCGTATAACTACATCATGAACGGGGTTAACCGTCCTTCATAACATGATGTGCTAAGCTTTTATAGGCACCGCCTGTAGGACAAGCTCGTGCATTGTATGAATATACTCGGCAGACCGACGAAGAGTTATCTTTCCCCGAAGATGCCCCATTGCAAGTCTATGATACGTCCGATCCGGATTGGATTCTTGTCGGGTTTGAGAAGGATTATGGCTTCGCTCCGGCAAATTATATCGAGATGGGTGCGGCCTCGTCGGCTTCGGCACCGGCTACGACACAGAAAGCTGCACCGGAACCTGAGCCCGAAATTGAGCCTGAGCCTGAGCCCGAACCTTTACCCGTACCGAAGCCCCCGTCCTTACCTACACGAGCCTCTGTTTCCTTTGCTCCTGTCGAGTCAGAAGAGCCTCAGAGCCCGCCTCTTCCGGACAGAATCCCCCCAGCAAGAGCTCCAGCAAGAGCTCCAGCCGCCCCTACAGCACCGCCGGGTCCAGCGGCTACTTTAGCCGGCGTAATGCAGGGCAAAAGGTCTACTCGTGCGGCGACGCCTCCGCCGGTCACTATACCTCCTCGCCAGCAATATCTCTCCGAAGAATCCGATGGCGAACCAAGTCCCGCTCTACCGGTGCGGCCACGACCCCAGCCAAGTATACCGAATGAACAACGTCGTGCGTCAGCTCATCCGCAGCGGTCCTCTAGCCGCCGTGAGTACGAGGATGAGGTCTACCCACCACAGTCAAGCCGGATCGCGCCTGGTGGATTCCATCTATATAACATCAACGAGATGGTGTCTATAATGGGCAAGAAAAAGAAGATGCCCACAACATTAGGCGTAAACTTAAAAACGGGGGTTATTCTAATCGCCCCTGAGCATGTCTCAGACGGCCCAAGTCAAGAGTGGACTGCAGAGAAGATGACACATTACTCCCGAGAGGGCAAGCACGTGTTTCTGGAGCTCGTTCGGCCGAGCAAGAGTATAGATTTCCATGCGGGTGCCAAGGATACTGCCGAGGAAATTGTCAGCGCTCTCGGCGAGCTGGCCGGAGCCGTACGGGCAGAAGGTCTGCGGGAGGTTATCATGGCCGGAACTGGTCAAAGTGCCCAGAAGAAGGGGCAGGTCCTTTACGACTTTGAGGCACAGGGAGACGATGAAGTAACAGTTTCTATAGGAGATGAAGTCATGATCCTCGACGATACCAAGAGCGAAGAATGGTGGCAAGTCCGACGCCTCAAAAGCGGAAAAGAAGGGGTCGTTCCAAGCAGTTATATCGAAATTATTGGAACGATGACATCGTCATCGACATCAACATCGGGTATTAATGCCGGCAAGTCTACCGTAGCACAGAACCGACTGGAAGAAGCACGCTTGACTAAAGAAGCGCTCAAGAGAGACCAAAAAGCAGCAGAGGTAGGGCCTGGAATGATTTTGCCTGAGAGGCGTAGTAGTTTGTCGGTGAGAGATAATGGTAACACTTCTGGGCAACAGCGAAACCGACGCGAAAACGGCCGATCAGAAAGCAGCCGCTCTGGTTCCTCCTCGAAGCCTAGTAAGTCATACCAATTCGTACTTGTGACATAGACGATGCTAATCACGGCTTTAGAACCAGATCCGACCAAAGTACGAAGTTGGACAGACAGGTCCAAGTCATTCAGTGTCGAGGCCCAATTCCTCGGGCTCAAGGATGGGAAGATTAATCTACACAAGCTGAATGGAGTCAAAATTGCTGTCCCTGTGGCCAAGATGTCGATCGAAGATATTGAGTACGTCGAACGTATCACAGGGGCGTCCTTAGACGAAGACAAGCCCCTATCTGAAGTTAAGCGCGCATTGCCTTCGAAGAATAGTTCGAACCGAGAGTCCGCGTCTAGCAAAGTCGGTGCGTCTGTCGAGCCGGCGAAGCCAGACTACGATTGGTTTCAATTCTTCCTGTCTTGCGATGTTGCTGTCGGCCTCTGTGAGCGATATGCTCAGGCTTTTGCTAAAGATTCCATGGATGAAAGCGTTCTGCCTGATGTGGACGCGAGTGTTCTCCGTAATCTTGGCCTCCGGGAAGGCGATATCATCAAGGTTACACGTTACTTAGATAAGAAGTATGGTCGTGATGGCAAGAAGAAAGGCGTTAGCTTCTCTGGGGACGATGACGATGGTTCTGGCGGTCTCTTCTCGGGACCAGGCGGGACACTCCGGAATAATACTCGAAAAGGTCGTCCCGCTCCTGCTGTTCAGACTAATGACAATATAGATGCCAAGGCGTTTTCTCAACAAAAAGACAGCGGTGCCCAAGAATCGGAGTCGTCCTCTCCTGCTGCAGCTCGCCCAAAGGCCACCGGTAAGAGTAGCGGCGGGTTCGACGACGACGCCTGGGACGTAAAGCCGGCCAAGCAGCAGCCCGAGCCTGAAGCGAAACCAGCTCCAACCGCTGAACCAGCTCCGGCCGCGCCTGTTCAACCTCAACGACCACCAACGCAATCCATGCAAGATCTTTCTCTCCTATCGACTCCGCTAGAGCCGATCAAAGTACAGCCAACCGCTACATCCCCTACTATAACTCTGCCACCACCCCAAGCCCAGCCGCAACCCCAAGTTCAGCCTCCACAGACGCAACCTCAGCAGCCGGGAGCAACGCCGGCTTTCTTCACAGGCATCCCGCCACAGCAGACAGGTCTCCCGCAGGCGTTAGCTCAACCCCTCAATCTTGGTCTTGGTAATAGGCAAAGACCTACACCACCCCAAGTCACCGGCGCTCAAGGTGCTCTAATGCCGCCACCGCCATCACGGCCATTATCGGCACCGCAGTCTGTGCAGCCTAGCGGGTTCGCGCCACCTCCGTTACAACCCCAGATGACGGGCATCGCACCCCCAGGACAGAGTCTGAACGACCTCACCCAACAGCGAATGCAGCAGCAATATATGGGCTCCTTCCAGCCCCAACCTACTGGCCAAGGTATGATGCCATTCAACACGGGTGTTGGCATGCCCGCCCAGTCCGCGTTTGGACCTGGCCAGTTCATGCAACCTCAAATGACTGGAGCGCCACAAATACAGAGTCCATTTGCAGACCCTCGTCCTCAACAATTCTCTCCAATGCAAAACCAACCCACAGGCTTTCCGGGTGGTTTCCAGCCGCAACAACAGTTCCCACAACAGACTGGTGTCAACTCTTATCTCCCTCCTGCACTGGAGCCTCAGCGCACGGGTATGCCATCGTTACAACCGCAGCAGACCGGCTTTGGTGGCTTTGGTCAAGGCTTCAATCCTGGCTTAAATAACGCAGCAGCCCAACCTCAACAGCCTCCCGCAGCTCCTCTTCTCCCCCAGCAGACAGGTCCTCCACCCCCCGTGCGCTTCGGTGTTACAGATAAAATTGTCCCCCAGCCTACTGGACGCCGTGCGAACCTCGCCCAAGCGAGTAAGTGCTTTCTCCCTTTGATGTGCATTGATCGTTACCAGCTAATATCATACAGCTCCGCAGAACCCATTTGGCTTCTAGAGGCCGCCTGTACAGGGCGCTTTGGTCAGATAGCTGTGGTGTAGGGTTGATTATAACAACGGTAGTCTATTCAGACGCGGGTGGTAGGCTTAATGTATTAGAGCGCGATGCTAGTCGACTCTAGTCGGGCCCTGAATAATAATCGCATATCGCGCCGCTAGAGCCTTGTCTAAAATGTATCTATCTACCTCAAGCAGCTCAGAGGTGAAACTTAATCTTGAGACTGGGGGGTCATCACAGAGAGGTGTTTTAAGATAATCAGGCAAGGGAGAGGTGATTGGGAGGAGAAAGGCGGCCATGTATAGCAGAAGCGAAGCAGGGATAGAGGCTGAGGTGGGAATGGAAGTAGACTTTGTTTGGACACGGTTTACTTATAAGAAAGAAAGAATGAATGGCTTCTTCTCCATCCATATATTATATATAATTTTAACTATTGCCCACCTGAGCCAGGAACACTGGAGGCTGTCTACTGCCTGGACGTTGTCTGGCATAAAGTATGTATAGTAATTAAGTCGCTTTACTTTCTTGTCTGATAATAACGCGGAAACTGTATGGGCTAGTTGTATATAGTGAGGTTATATCCCTTAGGTTAGCTGCGGATGCTATAGCAGCAGCATTTGGTGACGGGATATATAACCCTACAAAACAAACAGAACTATCACATACGACCATAGGATCTGGAAAACTCGGGATCCCGTCCGCTCTCCCATCGATAAACCAGATACCGCCGGATTAGTAGTTGGGTCGGTGACGACCAGCGAATCCCCGGTGTTGTATGTTTTTATTATTTTGGTGTTTTTATTTTTTAGACACCTTGCGGGTCGGATGTTCTCGTGTATATCAAATTTACTAGGTTAGGTAGTTATTTTTATCACATTAGACGTTTCTAGGTATGATATAATTAATAATAGTACTTCGTAGAATGTTGTCCTATTCTATGGTGGCTAGCAAAAGACGTCCTTTTTGACGCTATTTTGCGGTAGTAAGATCAGCATATTGTTACACAGTATAGTGGATTTTGCGGAATTAGACACACAGACTACTATATAATGTAAGAAATCGTCGAATTGTTTCACAGTGACTTGGAATGATATTATTATTTGCAATTTTCCTCGTTTTTATTGATTAATGGTTTACCGGAAATGACATAAACCTCATTCATTAAGCCTCTTATCCGTACGAATCCTTTGCAAGTTAGGACCAGATACTCAGTTCGGCTAAGCCCCTCGTCCTTCCATACCAACATCTCCTTTGGAGGGATGATCCAAGTCTCTACATCTCAAATTCGGGGCTTCTACATTATCACCTAGTTGTAAAGAGGCCAAGAGATTGCTTCGGAGCTTTTAGGAGTCGATTATAGCGCCGAAGAGCCAGTCGAGAAAATCGGTGTTTCCCTACTGGAAATATTAGATTGGTGGGGGTTCATCTGCTTCTTCTCCATCGAGCAAAGTTCGCCGGCGCGGGCGATTCTTTAACTCGTCACTGCCTGGTTGGGCGCCAGTGGTGACGGCTTTGCCTTCTGTCGGCTCTTCCTCAACCTTGACTTCTTTTCCCTTGGGATCGAACCGCTTGCGGACGGCGTCGATCATCTTGAAGAACCAGTAGAAGTTCAACGAGTTCAAAGTTATGTTGCTGGCAGTGTATACCGCGGCAAGCCATAGTGGGATGCTATCTGGTTGAGATACAAACCGCATGGTATTCGTATATTGGGAAGGGAATGATGCCTTAAGAAGCTCGTCGGAAGTTAGAGCTGTTAGAACGGTAGGTGTCGAGTTTACACCGGTCCACAAGTCACGGGCGACTAAGACAGATTGATATGTGCCCCATACAAGACGGCAAGAGAAGAAGGTAGCAATGAGTATCAGGCCATTATAGAGCTGGGCTTTGGTTCCAGTCATACCCAGCTTGTCAAAGAACCAATGGATATTGAGGAAAGGCGACGACAGCTCCCAGAGGATAAAGTTACTACTATAGTAGTTGAGAAACGGGCGCTAGTATTAAAGTTAGCTCTCCGAGCTTAAGTTCATAATTCAGACAAGACCTACGAAGCCAAAGGAATAGACCGCCAAAGCACTAATGGCATGTGCGAGCATACCAAGACCGAATATTTCGAGATGGGCGACAGTGATAATGAGGTCATAGAGGAAATAACCCGCGGCGAGAGCTTGGATCATGGCTGCACCGCCGGTATATCCCCAGACACGCTCTTGCAAGTCCATATTCTTGCGCTCCTCGTCGACGAACATAACCCATAATGCGAGGATGTTGATGGTGGTGCTCTGCACAAACGACACGACGTGGACATCCCAACTCAGCCTCTTGCTCCTGGGGAGGGCTGTGTATTTGGTAGGGAAGATTCGGCTCGATAGGAAGGGCGAGACGACAGTGCCGATGAAGAAGTAGAGAGCAGCCATCAAGAGGACCTCGTGAATATGTAGAGGCAGCGTCGGCAACCCGAGGTAGTCAGCCCATGGTTGGACGGCCTTGCTGAGGGCGGGGATAGGAGGAATAGGGAAAGGATCCCTCATGTTGGATTTCTATCCTAGTCGTCGATACGATATGCGGGTTAAGGAAATCGAGCCACTATGGTATCTTAGTTGAAGAATACAAAGTATTAAATAGATGATGTCCTTAGACAGGTCACAGAAGGGGGTATGTAAACCCAGGATGGGTGTGGGTAGACGAAGGTAATAGGTAAAAGGTAATAGTTGGATGATGGGGTAGTAGATGGGTATTATAAGTCGTGGATGACGAAAATAGAATAAAATAAAAAGTGCTAAGGCTGTGGAGGATTATGTCAGTCAGCTGGATCTATGTAGAAGTAAGACAAGAGCTGATGAATGACAAACTTACCCTTCTTTACCCTTAGGAGGTAGACAGACACTTAGACAATGATAATCTACTTCTTAGGGGGTGCGTATGACAGAGCACACGTAGCGTTAACTACATGGCACCTGTGCAGGTGCTAGTGGTCACCAGGCGAGAAGGGCACTGGGCTTGTGAATAGTGTATTGATTGGTTTTTGGTGCCGGTTGCGAATTTAGGTTATTACATGCGTAGCATTTTGATGCATCTATGGATGTTCTATGTATGAGCTTAGGGATGTATTATGGATGCATATACGGGGCTTCCTTCCTTTCAGCTGTGCCGGCCGGGCTCAACAAAAATCAAAACGGGTAATCGGCCACATGCAGATTTCGGGACCGTTGGGTACATGTATGGGTACAGGAAGTAGGTACGTGATGCTACGTACCCCATACCCACCAATGCACAAGAGGTACTTGCCTTATGTAGGTAGGTATGTACCTAGCCGCATAGGCTACTACTATGTAAATTGATATTCACTTAAGAGGTAGTTTTGCTAGTTTGATCTTGGCATTTGTGGCTTGGGTATGCCGAGTCTATGTACCTTGCTCTTCCATGTACATTACAATGCAGGTACATGGAACCTTGGTAGAAAACAACATTCCGCCCAAGGTTGTGTCTAAGATCTTCCATACTATGAGTAACAGCACCAAGCTAATATCATTTCTTAATATCTAAATCAACCCGCACGTGGCCAGCTGAACTACACCACTAAGCAAAATGGCTGATTTGTTTCAAGAGTTATTAAATCCACCTAGCTCAGCCGACCGTCGCTCAAATGACAAGACTCAGACTGACCCTGTCGCCCTCCAATATCTTTCCTCATTGGCTTCTATGCCCCTTTCTCAACTAGATGGCTCCGAACAGCAATCCTTAGCCCAATCTTCTCATTCACTACACCTCGCCTTACAGGCCCTTTCTAAACGTTCTCACAAGTCTATCATCAACTCGGCAGCTAATCACGCCCACCTCGGCACTACGCTTCCTACTCTAGCAGCCTCGGCCACTGACTTAACGGCCGCCATACCTAAGTTAGATAATGAGGCAGTTCGTTTCTCAACTACTTACCATAAGTCCGGAGATAGTGAACTTCTTAATGCTCGGAAGCGAGCCCTGTTATTATCGAGAAACGTCGAACGATTAGTTGACGTGCTTGATCTCCCTACTTTACTCTCTACTGCCATCTCCACAGGCTCTTCTGCCCCGGCTGCAAATTATGCATCCGCGCTGGATCTTAACGGCCATATCCGTCGACTGCATGGCCTATACCCTGACTCACCTTTGGTGGCATCTGTTTCCACGCAGGCCGATGAAGCTATGCAGGCCATGGCCAAAAACTTGATAATGGGCCTACGCACACCCGGTCTCAAGCTAGCATCTGCCTTAAGAACGGTCAGCTGGCTCCGAAGAGTCATACCGGATCTTGATACTACCGGCGCCACTGGCAATGGTGGAGGGCTAGGAGCTTTATTCCTCGTATGCCGTCTGTCGACACTCATCAATATGCTAGCTGCCTTAGAGCCACTTCGTGAGCTAGCGGAACAGGAAAGGATACGGCAACAGCAGAACCCAACAGGGAGCGCCTGGTCTGGAGGACAGCAAACAGAGCGATACCTCAAGCGTTACATAGAGATATTCAGAGAACAAAGTTTTGCTATCATCTCAATGTTTAGGAGTATATTTCCTACACACACAAATGAGACGCCGTCAAAAATAACCGACGATGACCCTCTACAGCCTGTACCATCCGCAGCATCAACATTCTTATTTCACCTTATCGAGATGTTAATGGAGACGCTCCGGATTTACCTGCCAACTGTTAAAGACCAGCCGTCCCGTGATAGTTTATTGACACAAGTTCTTTACTGCGCCGGAAGTCTTGGGCGTCTTGGGGGAGACTTTGGGATCTTACTAGCCACTATCGATGTTGGAGATGAAGCAGAAGATGAATGGGTCGAGGTAGTTAAGCGTCACCGGCTCATGGCAGGTCGTCTGGAATCAATCGTCGGCGGCAAAGAGAAAGGGGTCGCAGAGCCCATCAAGACATAAATATCTACTATCATTCCCACTGAGATCTGACACCGGATCATTCGTATGGACAGAGTCTTTGCTACAGAAGGCATGCTCCGAGCAATGTCCAATCCGAAAATTGACAGGGCATTTAATGTGAGCATTACTCTTTTTAAATACCTTTCTCTAGTAGATGGAGCGTAGTTTAAGGAGACGATGCCCGTAATTTAAATATACTACATAGTAAAGCATGTGCACGCATAAAAGTATTTTATGCTTACATATAGCTCATACAATCCCTGTACCTTTGTTAGGTATGCATGTACCTACCCACTTGCCTAGGCTCTCCTAGGTATGAAGTATGACGTGAGGATTGGCGGGGCTCGTCTTTGAATCGATTTTTTAGACGGCAAAATTGAAGTCTATACATAGGCCAAAAGCTACTAGCACCTTAATAAGCCTTTGACTCAAAGCTACCATCTTTCGCATACGAAAAGCAACCCGGATCCCACTTATTTTGTGCCATGCGGGCAATTGAAGGTCGGATCAAGAGGGAAGAGAGATATAAAACTCCTAAGCAGATGGGCTTGCTATAAGTCCAATCCTCCATCTTGGTAGGATTCATTCGCTCATTCGCTCATTTGCTTTGTTTGCTTTGTTTGCTTCGCAATGTCGCAGAAGACAGCCGGAGGCAAGTCTTCGTCAAGTAAGCAAACGTAATCTCAGTCTTGGGTTGCTAAATCTTGAGTGAGGAAGCTGACGGTTCTTCCGGTAGCCTTCCACTTTGGTGCTGGGCTCGGCTCTGGCACATTAAGCGCTGTACTTCTACAGCCGTTCGATCTTCTTAAGACACGCGTGCAACAGTCAGGTTCACATTCAATCAGAGCTGCTATAAGAGAGATTGCCAAGTCTCCAAATGCATTAACTGCCTTCTGGAGGGGCACGGTCCCGTCAGCCCTGCGGACGGGTGTCGGGTCGGCCATCTACTTTACCACCTTGAATAAGATTCGGCAGCGTGCAACGGCCTTTCCGTTCGCTACGGTTCCGGCCGTTGATAAGCATGGGTCTTCTTCTTCTTCACTGCCGAAACTTTCTAATACCGCGAACATGGTATCCGGAGCCGTCGCCCGAGCTTTTGCGGGTTTCATCCTCATGCCACTGACGGTTATCAAGGTACGCTACGAATCAAATTTATATTCATACAGGTCGATTGCCGGCGCTGCAAGGGATATATACAGAACCGAACGCATCCCCGGATTCTTTGCCGGCTTTGGCGCCACCGCCCTTCGAGACGCCCCGTATGCTGGGCTCTACGTTCTTTCGTATGAACAATTCAAAAAGCGACTTAGTGCCTGGCTTTATGTAAGCCCGGCTATCACTCACGGACAGGCTAGCCTGGGGATGGGGAGTTCTCTGTCTGCTACCATTAACTTCAGTTCCGGTGCACTCGCTGGCGCAACGTGTTCCTTCATATCGAATCCGTTCGACGCCGTCAAGACACGCATACAGCTGCAACCCCGCCAATACCGTAACATGGTTCAAGCGTGCCGCAAGATGATCACGGAGGAAGGTGTACGGTCACTCTACGACGGACTTGCTCTGCGCATGACGCGCAAGGCGATAAGTTCTGCATTGGCTTGGATGGTATACGAAGAGTTGATTCGGAGAGCAGAGACTACGCTATATTCGAAAGACGCAAAAGGGCATGTATGATTACCAAGCCGGCTACGTATAAAAAAAAGCTATATCCAAAATGAAGAAGAAAAAATATCAAATCCCCCCTCATAAAAGCAGTTCTTATCGGAGATTTCTTTTGCTTGACATGGACCGCTCTTTATTTAAAATTGGGTATATATCCTTGTTCATGATCGTTTCTGCCTGCCCCTGCCCCTGCCCCTGCCACTCCCACCTCACCTCAACGTAGGAAAAAGGCGTAACTTCGTTCGTTAACTGCAAATCGCAGCGACCGTCCCGTCCCGTCTGCTTCCATATATGCAAAAACCAGCCACACGCTATGATGGCCGTCCGCCGGCTAGATACATGAGCAACGAAGGGGATCGGCTGCGTCGGCGCTCCTTCTTGCGGACCCATTCAAATTCGGGCTCAAGGTGGTGATGGTGGTGATGTTTCTTGCCTTCTTCGATGCTCACTGTGGATTCTAGTGTCAGCATAAGTATTTTATCGACGATGCTAAGGAAATTCATAATTGTGGCCAGATAAGTATGAGATGAGATAAACTTACTAATGAGCTTGCCAGAAGAGGTAGAGCTAGATCGCTTCTCTCGGATGATCTTGGTGTGCCTCCAGAGTACGTCCTGCTCTGGCTCTGCCACCCATCGCTTGATCAAAATGTAATCGGGATCCTAGTTTGCGAGGTTAGATCTACCATACTGACATGACATAGTTGGGGGAGGGGGTATCTATGCTACTTACGGGGTCAAGCTGAAAGTCAATGTTATAAGCCCTAAGGGTCTCAATCGAAAGATGTCGCCGAGCCATGCGTGTGTAAATCGGCCTCTCCTCCTCTTTTTTCTCTTCCTTCTTTTCTTCCTTCTTCTCCATTTCCTTCTTCTCCTTCTCGCGCTTGATCTTCTCGCCGGCGAGGATAGCGTTGATCTCCTTCTCGTCGAGCCCAGATCTGAGCAGCTGCTCTTGCATCTTGGACTTGTACTCCTTCTCGCGCTGCTCGGCTTCCTGCTTTTCGCGGAGCTTGCGCTCGGCCTCCTCGCGCTTATACTTGTCGATGATCTCCTTGGCTTCCTTGTCACGGCGCCGCTTCTCCTCGAGCGCAGCTTCTTCAGCTTTCATGCGCTCGAGCTCGAGCTTCTGCTTCACGCGCCGCTCATACTCGTCGTCCGCCTTGGCCTTGCGGATCGCATCAAGCTCCTTCTTGGCATCTCGCAGGTCCCGCTCTTCTTGCATGGTCCGGTTTCGCCGCTGCTCTTCTTGCTCGATCTGCTTGGCTAGCTTGATCTCTTGCAGCTCCTTGCGCGTGCGCTCCAGCTCGTACTCTCGACGCTTGTTCTCAATTTCTTTCTCATGCTCGCGGCGCCGCATCTCAATCTCCTTCTCGTAATCTACGCGCACATGCTCGAGCGCAAAGGCATCGCGCTCGCGTTGAAGTTCGAGTTCACGCTGGAGTTCAAGTTCACGTTCACGGGAGTGGCTGGATGAGACGCGAGAGTGCGAGCGGTGGCGACGGTGATGGGATCGGGATCGGGATCGCTTGTACTCGTCTTCGGAATCGGAGTAGGATAGCGATTCCGAGTCTGAGTTATTGTAAATGCGGTTGTTAATAATGACCGGAGGTGGCGCCGGCTGAGACACATTGCTCCCAGGAGAACCCGGACGACGGTCCCGCGAAACAGAGCGCCTAGTGGTAACCAAGGTACGCTCATTTGTCGGGGTTAGAAACCGATCCTCAACTCGGGGACCAGTCTCGTAGAACCGGGGCCGAGACCGGTTCGGAGCCTCAACATAATGCGCAAGGGTAGGGGGAGCCGGAGGGCGAGGAGAGGCTGAGACATGCCGATGTCTCACACGGATATCGAGGTCCGAGTCCTCATCGGAATAGGAATTGTATCTACTCATCTCGGATTGATTTCAGTAGAGGGTATATAAGACGATATAAAATAAAAGACGAGTAAACGGCAGGTATGTCCAGTAGGATGTGGGTGAGAGAGGGGAATAAAAAAGGGAAAATGAGATAAGGGAGGGAGGTTCGGGAGATTCAAGTAAGAACTCGGTAAGAACCACCTTGGATAAGAACTACTTGGATAAGAACTACTTGGGTAAGAAGCAGTTGCTTATTATAATACGCTTATACCCTACGGTACCGAAGGCGGGGGAAGCGCTCTTCATTTATCGTTGTTAGAAAACGCAGGCGCGCGCACATGTTCTAATCCACCTTTCCACCTTAACTGCTTAGTTATTACTATATTGGGTTGTCTTCCAAGGCACCCCAGGTCGTTCTTACCGATGGGTACTACTTCGACAAACAACGATACCCACTCAGGGTAGTACAACTTGTTACTGCTATTGTATAATACAAAGTACCTCCAATACGGCTATACGGCTATACGGCACTTGTTACCAACAAATAGGTACATGCCAGAGTTGTTGCATTCCACCTCGGCCCTAATGCACGGTACTTTGTTCAGAACAGTTTATAGTGTACCTTTCGTCATTAGCCAGGTACCTTTAGCGATCAATCCATCGTTGGGGGCCGAAACGGAGTTGAGCGACAATTCGTGGATTCCAGGGCATTATAACGCTAACTAATGAGATGTTTTATAGTCCCTTGTCCGAGGGGCTGAGAGTGGGGTTCATTTAGTACTACCTAACACGCACACACACAACTTTGGAACTTCGTTGTTGTTATGCGTAAGCTTAACAAGCATCCTATGCAGTTACTTGGGTATGCATACTTGGGTGTTCTATTAATTACGTAGATACATCGTACCTTACTTGTCTCCGATTGTACCTATTAATAGATAGGGCTAGGAACGTAGGTACCACGGAACTATGTACTTTTATAGTTGCTTCTTTTCGGGAAGGTTATGCGCTCGCTTGCCGCTTGTAAATGCAGAAATAGTATACATAACATCATTGATATGTATTATAACATACTAATTTAAGACATTTAAAAATCGAAGAGTTAGAAGTGACAAGTACTTACACTAGTTATATAGAAGTAATCAGTAAAGTGAGCCGCATAAAGGTAGGATTAATGACTGAATTTAGTGGCGAACCACATATCCATACTACCATGTCATCTTCCCTTTTTCTCTCCCAAGAAGTTTATGACTGTAGTTATGTTCCACAAGTAGCCGCTTTGGTGTTCGGGTAAGATAGACAAATAAGCACTAAGGCATCACGAACCACCGGTGAACAGCCTCCTTGGCCGGGAGGTTCAAATCTGATCTAATGCCTGGGCAGCTGGGTCACGGTTGATTGTTCGCCTTCCAGCACTACTAATACATAGCACAACGCCTCCGCTTCTTCCCCCATTTGCTGCGCCAGCGTTCCGTGTCGCGTGATCGGCAGGCCTCCGTGTAGCCAGCGCAGCCAAAAACCCCTCCCTTCCGAACCGGACCCAGAATCTTTGCATTTTACTCTAAGACGCGCCCACACCGCCCCTCAGCATGCGGTCTATCTGGTCCTTACTATTCTTCTGCGAAACCTCGAGGTAGTGCAGTCTCTTGCCGAGCCCGTCCACCTCGCCTTCCACCTCCTTGATCTGGCCCTCTAGTTTGCTCTTCATATCGGCAACGGGCATGGCGACAAACCTACATTCCGGTTAGTAGTTACTCATCGGCATACCCGATAGGGGTGGCGAGGGAAGAGAAAAGGCCTGACATCTTGCCGACGCCTTCGTAGACGTTAGTATCGGCCGGGAGCGAGGATATCTCGCTGCGCGTTAGCTGCGCCATTCGCAACTCCCGCTGCTTAGATGCTTGTTGCGTTCTGACGAGGGATATTTGCTGCTGCGCTGCGATCGCCTGCGTCTCAACCTCCCGCAGCAACTATATATTGCAATTTTTGTGAGTGGATGTAGTCTTGTCATGAATACCTAAATAACATACCTTCTGCAGTGCCTCGTTTGAGATAGACATCCTCCCGCTAGGATTTGATTTTCTTATTTTTGCTTGTTTGCTTTCCCGCTTCCTTGGATTAATCTCGGCGCACCCTGAAGTTGAGATGGGCTGTGTGTATTCTTTATATCGCGGTAGATGACTAGACGAATATAATAGGTACCTAACCTATTAGATTTATACCGGTTGCTTGCATTACCTAAGGTGCATGTAGGTACGTTCCAATGGTAGCGCAAGGCAAGAGAGGACTTCAATTGATTGAGATGTCACTACCTACAATGTACCCAGATAGGTATGTACATAGAGGGGTTAGAGCTTAGGTTGTGTGCGGATGGCGGGGTTATTTCCAATACAAAATTAAATGTACCCAAATTTCGCAGCCATATCACAATGTAACAGTTACAATCCAATAGAATTGACTTAACTTATTCCATTTATTCTATTAGGGTTCTAGCCTAGCCTGGAGCTTTCAAGCTCCATATAGACAGGCTTTAGAGTATACCCTAAAGTAGACGTTCGTGTATACTTTGTAAGTCATCAAAACTCAACGCTCAATGTGCTGCCTCTAATGTCCGTAAACGCCGAATGAATATGTCGTCTAACCTCTATTCGAGTACGCTTGTAATCACATCAGATATCGCTACCATCTATCGCTGTCATCTATCGTTACCGTCTATCGCTAAGTAGCATATGTGGAGTATAGTGAGTTCTCGGGTGGGCGTGTGCAAGAGTACGTGCAAGAGTACTAGGTACTCTGATCGTCCAGCAGGGTTGGCGCGCTTTCTATTGCTTTTTCTTATCCGTTATGTCCTCTAGGGCGACTACTTCTGGCATCCGGAAGATCGAGGGCCAGACAAGTTGAAATTTATCCTCGTCGCCGTCTAAACAGCGGTGGATCCAAATGCGCCAAACGATGTAGAAGTATGCTAATAAAGACAGTCATGTTAGTGGGGACTAGAGACACTTACCCGTTAGTTATTCGGGATAGGGATTACACTTACCACCTATTCCAGTCACTACAGTAAATATAGGATATTAGTAACCGTCTCCCACATAAAAGCATACAAGAAATAGAGGATTTTTCTAACTCAGATGCCACCAAGAATGACCTTCAAGGACGACTGCCCAGGGAAGCTGGAGTTGATGCCGCCATTTACGAATCGTATTGCAGTACATGTTGTCCAAGTTCCAGATAAGATAACCGCCGAGGAATACGCTGAGCCCTAACGAAGAAACCGAATCGTTAACATGGTTGCCAATCACGTTACCATCAGTAGCTTACCTGTCGCAACTAAGACCCACATCTGTCTTATCATCTCATTGGTTGTCGGCAACCTCGGAGCGCGAGCCTCTCGTTTTCTGCTTTCTTCTCTCGCCTTTAGGGCCGGCCGGAGTGTTCGCTCCATAATCCACATGTTAGAGAAGACCACCGTGGCGGTCAATACCGCATAGGCGTCTTGGTGGAACTGAGGATCCTTGGTTTTATAATATCTTGTCTAGCAATCCATTGTTAGTATGCCCAGCTGTTCGATGAACAGCGACGGGAGGTAAGACGAACAGTTATAAACCATGAAAGCCAGAGAAGGCCGGCGCCAAGGAGAGAGGAAAAGTGAATAGATCTGCCGTATGTAAACGTAGCGAAGCACATGAAACAAGTCGTATAAATCATGGCAAGTTCGTCCACCAGTTGCATAGGATCTATCAAGTGTTAGAGAGCTGCGATCTGGACATTGAGAAACCTGCTCCAGAGAGACTTGGGCATGGTATCATCAGTTGTGCGCTGGCTTACACTTAAGAGTAGCGTGGAAAAAGGTAGACCCTAGGCCGACCACGATATATCCAGCAAAAGTGACAACGAAAATCAGAGGGTGTGAATATTTGATGCACCCTCGGATGCCCTTGAGGCCTAGCCACACGAAGAGAGCATTGGTGAGGGTCTAAACGCAACACGCCGCACATAATAAATTAGTCTCCGAATCGCCTCATTCTCCTCGTATATATCGAGCTCAAGGGGATGATGATAAGAAAGAAAGAAAAAAGAACTGAAAAGGAACAAATGGGGAAGAGAGAAGCCTACATTGCAGACTTCGGCACAATAGTAACTCATAACGTAGTCCTAAGATTCGGTGTTTAGTCTTATACTCTTTTGACTAGGAAGAGTATGTATTTTACTTACCTCCTCACAGAAGTTCAAAGTGGACGTTTTCTCACCCCAGAAACCGTGCCGAGGTTCATGGTAAGGGAAGCTTAAAGCCTCGATGAGGCTCTGCACAGACATGTTTCGAGGTAGGTAAACCGGCTTATAATACAAGTGTCGTTGTTAGGGAACTAGTTCGTCCTATTATATGAAGTTACGAATGAGTTTCTGTACAGATGGATGGACGTGTCTCTGTTGAGCTTGTCTGAGCAGACGGGTAGGAATGAAGAGAAATATGGAATGGGTTGTGTAAGTTGTGTAGGTAGTGTTGAAGAAGTGTGTTTCCGGCACTCCGGTAAGAATCAAGGTAGCGTCGAACCATTCTTATTGATGTTATGTACTTTACATCCTACTGAACCTTATGTCCGTACTATTTACATTACATATACCTACCCTTACGTAGGCACGATGCAGGATTAATCTAGAAAAAACATGTGAGTATGTGCAAGTATACCTAACTTGTTAAGGAAAGGCTTTTGGGGACCCCTGGTCTATACGTAATAGATCAAAGGCAAGTGCATACCCAAAAGGTATCGAGGTAGGTAGGTGCATGTATGTATGCAGTCTATATGCAAATATCCGGACTCGATCAATTAAAATGATGATATGCAATATAGCGGATAACGTCTCGGACTCTTTTTGATGACGCCTTGGGTGTTTTCTCTTAACAGGGCAATCCTCCAATTTGGTACTGGCTGACGGCTGACGGCTGACATCTTCTAGGCGTTTGAAACAAACAGCTCCCTTTGGTTGGTCTATTTCTAGTAATTTATAGCTGCCAAGCTTCACCCGCAGAATCCATCCGCATTAGCTAGAAACTCTTGCGCGAAAGCTGTGCCTCGTATTCTTATACGACAGCCTATCCGGCACCTTATACCGACTGCCACCATCTCACCATCTGTCTAGTTTATAGCTGTCTTCTAACGACAGAAAAAAACAAATGCGAAACCAATTTGAATTCTACAATTTCTACTCTTAGTAGAACGGTAGGACGGATCTAGGTTTCATCATCTCGTCGCCGTGACACGTCAGCAATCAGCGCATAACGCTCTGTACAATGCGACGGCTTCCTTTCCGGGACTGCTTGGAAGAACGAACTACGTGCGACATAACCACTCGTTAAAGATCATCGCCCTAGTTACAGCGTAGGCCCGAGAGCCTCAGATATGTCAGCTCCCCAGAAGTCGTCGAGATGGGGCTCCTTTCTGTCCCAGGCTGTCGCTGGCGTCGAAGCTCGCCTTGACAATATCCTCGCCGAAGAGGATGCGGCAAAGCAGTCATCACCGCAACGCCCGACCAGAACACCATCGACGTCTTCCGCTACTACGACCAGCGTTCCAGCTCGGTCTACTACGCCTTCACGATCCTCTAACGATCGATTGCAAGAACGGCTAGCTCGAGCTGTCGCCGCAAGGAATGCCGCCCAAAAAGCCGATGCCTCGCCCTCTAGATTAAGTTCTGAATCAGCTCCACCGACTCAGAGTCCCCGTACCAGCACCGATGTTCCTTCCGCAACATCCACGGTACAGTCTCCACCAAGCGCCGAGAAGACAGAAGACTCGAAGGATGATACAGTTAGCAAAGCGCCCGCTTCGTCTACACTTGGCGACGGGGCTTCTGTGAGTCCGCCAACTCCAGCAGTTTGTGGGCAAGCTACTGAAGGCGACTTACATGCTTCACCAAAACCCGATCGCGAAGTTCAGGATGATAAGCCCGAGCCACCGGCAATCGAAGTTGAGGAAGAACTGTTGGGAACTGAAAACACCTCAGCGTCTGCGACCCTATATGAGCAGCGCATTGCCGACCTAGAAAAAACCTTGGAGGAGGCCAATGTGCAACACCAGGAAGAACTCCACAGCCATGTTGAAAGGGTTGATGCTCTGCAGGCTAAACTACAATATTTAGCCCGGCAAGCATCGGAGGCAGCAAGAACCGCTGCCGCTGCCGCGCCGGCGGGTAGCGCAGACAAAAAAGATGCCGAGAAGGACCAGCAGATTGCCCAGTTGATGGAGGAAGGGCAAAGACTGGCAAATACGGAACAGAAGCATAGGAGCATAATCAAAAAGTTAAGAGGCCAACTCGTCGTGGTTGAGAAAGAGCTTAATGAACAGAAACTCTGGCGTCAGAAAACGGAGACGGAGCTCAGTGCTCTACGCAAAAAGCTGCACGATCAAGGCGATGTCGAGAAGGCGAATGCAGATTCACAGAAGCAAATAAGCCAACTGAGAAGAGATTTAGAAGTGCTAAAGGCTGAAATTTCCTTGAAAGATAGTACAATATCCGAACTCAAGGATCGGCTGCAGGAGGAATCCGATCGAGCCAAGACATTGGCTGCTAAGGTGAACGATCAGCTACGAGAAGCGGGAGAGAAACATGTAAAAGAGCTAGAAGAAACGGTTGCAACGCTAGAGGTAGAGAAGAGTTTAATAGCCGACCGTGCGAAATTACAAGCAACAGAACTACAAGAAAAGGCTGACAGGGCTGCGGAGCGGTTTCGCGCCGTGGAGTTGGAACTCAAGGGGGAAGTTCAGATCCTCGAGAGCAAATTAGAGGCCCTTCGAATTCGGGCGGAAGAGGCATCGACAGGCGCTGTAGGGGATGCGCAGGCGAAGCTACTCCGCCAGATAGAGACCCTACAGACGCAGTATTCCATTGCTAGCGAGAATTGGCAGGGCATAGAGGCGTCTTTAATTGCAAAGACCGCGGCTTTGGAGAAGGAAAGGGATGAAGCATTACGGCGCGAGTCTGAAATGAGGCGGAAAGCCCGGGAGACGGTAAGGTGGTTCGCATCCCCTGAATCAAACGCAATCACTAATGCTTAGGATCAGGCTTCTCGAGCCAAACGTCAGGAAGAGGAGTTGGAAGAGGCAAGAAACCAACTACCCAGCGTGCAACAAGACTTATCCTCGCACCGGTCAGAAATCGAAGCCCTGCGCAAGCGGGCCGAGGAGGCGGAGGCTTCGTTAGCTGAAGCGAAGTCTGATTTCGAACGACAGCGGTTAGCGTGGAAAGAAGAAAAGGCCGAGCGGACAGATGCAGACCGGCGGAACTGGCTAGAAGATATACCAACTGCTGCCTTCCGTAACATTAGTCGTCCAGAATCTCCCCTATTAACAGCGCCACAGAGGACGTTTAGCGGTGAGTTCTTAGGGTTACAGAGTTATCCAACGAGACTACGCAAGACATCGGCACCCTCTAGCAATGGCGATCCGAGTCCTGGCGATCGACCGGCATCGGCAAGGCGGCCATCAGGACAACCTCCTATGCGGTCACCCATGTTCCCCTTCTCGTCGGTGCAGTCATCGGGGACACCGCCATCCCTATCCGGTGGCTTGGAGATATTAGCTTCTCCGTCAGCGCACCCCACGGATAGGGATGATGTTTTTGAAAACGAAACACCTGCATCTCCCCACAACGTATTGCAGGATATGATGTCGGTATCTACTATGACAGCAGGGCCGTCTGTACAACTAGTCGAGAGGATGAGTGCTGTAGTCCGTCGATTAGAGAGTGAAAAGGTAGCAGCTAAGGAAGAGCTTGCTAGGATTTCAAGCCAACGGGACGAGGCTCGCGGAGAGATCGTCGTCTTGATGAAGGAGATGGAGGCCGAAAAGGGGGCCAAGAAGAAAGTGGAAGAACTAGAGAAGGAGGTGGCACTTATCAACGAAAGGTACCAAACTACGTTAGAGATGCTCGGGGAAAAGAGCGAGCTGGTAGAGGAGTTACGTGCAGATGTGGACGATGTCAAAGCCATGTATAGGGACCTCGTGGAACGCACAATTAAATAAGGAGGCAGTGACTCGTCCGGGCCTTATATTACGCCTGAATTAAATCTTTTGGGGTATAAGACATAACTAGTAGAATACTATGAGTAGCGTACTCAATCAATGACAAATAGCCAACACCCGTATAAGCCAATTACAGGTCGATTCCCTCATTTTCTGCTCCCCGCTCAATGTACTTGCGAACCTCCTTGTCGGGTGCAAGATCTAACGCGAGATATCCGTCTGAATCTCGCTTGTCGAACTCGGCGCCAGCCTTGAGCAGGGCGACCGCGGTATCTCCTATATCCTGTCAGCCATGCCGTAGGTGTCTTGTGGTTATAATTCATTATAGAAGGAAACCAACCGTGACCTTCAGCAACCGCATGGTGCAAAGCCGTGTACCCCGAGTTATCAGTCGCATTGAGCGGGCTTTTATTTTTTAACAGCAGGTTAACCATGGGCACCGAGCCAACGGCCGCCGCTCGGTGAATCGGATACTGGCCGCGCTTATCCCTGACTCGGGTGGAGGCCGGGGGCTTGTGATCTAGAAGCTTACGAGCTACCTCGAGATTGCTCTTGGAAGCGACAAAGTGGAGAGCTGTCTGTGCTGGTATCAACAACCTGTCTATAAGTCCATCCTGATATCTTAGCTCTGCAACGCACCTGTCCGTTATAGTCTATCGGAAATTCGGAATTAGCTTTTGAAATTTTGGATTTGGGCCGGTTAGGGGTAAGACTTACTTTTTTGGTTTACGTCGGCACCTCTTGAGAGGAGTAGCTCGACTACTGCGCCGCCGTCTTTTACGCTTGCCGCGATCATCAAGGGGGTCCAGCCGCTGGCATCCTTAAGACGTTGTTAGTTATGTGAAGCTAAAGATGTGGTACGAGGCTAAGTAGGAAGTATGTCTACTTCCACGGCTGATACTCACTTCAATATCCGGATCAAAATCTTTCTGCTGGGCTAACATCAACACTATGGGTTGATTGTTCGCAGATGCAGCCCAGTGTATAGGAAGGCGGCCGTCATCATCCTTGAGACGGGATAGTTTTGGGTCCGCCTGTTGACCTCCTTAGCCATATTGAAATCTCGTTAGGATACGTTAAACCCATGAGCTTACGTTTAGTAAAGACTCGACGACGGTGACTGCCAGATGTGGGTTTCAGTTAGTAAATAGCTTCTAAAGAAAAAGACTCGGTGGTATAGAAGGGAAGCTTTACCTTTGCCCTCCCTCGCCGCAGCATGTATGGCGTATCTCGACTGGTCGGAAGCCATGTCGTACGCCGGGGATCACCTGAGATGAGCTCAGGTATAGCTTATAGTTATGAGACGTTTACTAGAGGAAGTGTTTGTTAAGGAGCAAACGAATATGGTTTCTCTTTGGTCCAGACTCCTGAGGTACAGCGTCATTCATATGTATCGAGCACCCAAAAGTATCGAGGTACCTTTAGTAAATAGAAAAGTGGATCTAGATGCTAGTCATACGGAATACATATGTGGGACTTGGTGGATATTCACAAAACCGGAGATCATTCAACTAATGAGTTATACGGTGTACATCCAATCTTATCGATAATGCTTGTTAACTTGTACCTAGCTTAGATCCAATGCATCAATCCAAACATTTGCTTAACCATTTGCTCTAAACTTTAGCCATCATCACTATCATCACTATTATCATTACCACCTACATAACACTCCATAGCCAGCCAACACGATGGAGATCGGCACTCCCGATCTCAAATCTCTCGTGCTAGAGAACGCCCGACGCTCGAAATCGCTCTTCGCAGATCCATCAGCCCGCGAGTCGGCGCGCAAGAAAGTCAAGCTGACCGACGACGCGCTCGAACCCCAACGCGAGAAAGACGCTCTATCCCTCCGCCTCCACGCCGAATACCAATATGTGCGAGAACTACCTCCCGCCCTTGCCCAGAAGCAGGCGAGTGCCATGAGCGCCAGGAAGAAGGGCAAGCGGCCAGCTGCGAACGAACCCCCGGCCGCACCAGAAGACCAGAAGACACAGAAGCTAATCGAGGGCATCGCGCAATCCTCCTCGTCCAGTACAAATAACCTCCCTTCAAACTCCAATGCCCTAGTCCATCTGCAACGACCTCCCGCTACCTTACCCGGTTCAAGCACCACCACATCCCAATCCCTAAGCGTCGCCCGAGCGCAGGCCACGCATCAAGCCAAGCCCGACTGGCATCCCCCATGGAAGCTCATGAGAGTAATTTCGGGCCATCTAGGCTGGGTGCGTGCCCTAGCCGTAGAGCCGCACAACCAGTGGTTTGCTAGCGGTGCCGGCGACCGCACCATCAAGATCTGGGATCTAGCAACAGGGAACCTAAGGCTGACCTTGACGGGCCACATATCCACCGTGCGAGGCCTCGCTGTATCCCCTCGACACCCGTATCTATTCTCCTGTGGCGAGGATAAGATGGTAAAATGTTGGGACTTGGAAACGAACAAGGTGATTCGGCATTACCACGGCCACCTTAGTGGCGTGTATACCTTATCATTACACCCTACTCTCGATGTTCTAGTAACAGGTGGCCGAGACGGCGTAGCCCGCGTCTGGGATATGCGCACACGCAGCAACATCCATGTATTATCCGGGCACAAGGGCACCGTGGCCGACCTCAAGTGTCAAGAAGCCGACCCGCAAGTCATAACCGCGTCTCTCGACTCCACCGTGCGTCTCTGGGACCTCGCTGCAGGCAAGACCATGGGCGTCCTCACACACCACAAAAAGGGTGTCCGCGCACTGGCCCTCCACCCCAGCGAATTCACTTTTGCGACCGGCAGCACCGGCAGCATCAAGCAATGGAAATGTCCCGAGGGCGCCTTCATGGGCAACTTCGACGGTCACAACGCCATCATCAATTCCCTCGCCCTCAACGAGGATGTCCTGTTCTCCGGCGGCGATAACGGTTCCATGAGCTTCTGGGACTGGAAAACCGGACACCGGTTCCAGTCTTTAGATTCTATTGCCCAGCCGGGGTCCCTAGACGCCGAGGCGGGTATCATGAGCTCGACGTTCGACCGCACGGGACTGCGGCTTATTGTCGGTGAGGCAGATAAGACGATTAAGATATGGAAGCAGGATGAGAAGGCAACGCCGGAGACGCATCCGCTCGAGTGGAAACCTACGCTGGGGAGACAAAAGTATTAATTAATTAGGAGTCAAAATTTGCATAATTTGTATTGTATTGCTCGCACTTGGGGGTGTGTTTTAGACATTCTGCGCTACGAAGGACGGAAACAGATGATAACTATCAGGGGTATTAACGTCGTAAATATTGGTTTTGGTACTATCTGTACATTATTAGAATGCTATACCCAGCGCCCGAATCTCAGGGTCGTCTCGAAATGCGAGCTTGATCTCTTCATCGCCTACAGCAAGCCTGATCTTGCTCGGCCGTTCTGCTCTCTGGCCTTCAAGGATGATGATTCCAGCTCCAGTGAGATCAACCGCAGCTGTACTAATGCCTGCCGGTCTAGGGAGCTTTTGCTCTTTCTTTCGTGTGCTTATGTCGACTTTAGAATCTCTATCCGTTGTATGTCTCAGTAAACCAACTCGACGGCTACCGGCATCTAATACCAGAGCCCGGTTCATCTCCTCCATCACATCGCCGTAGGTGCTATCGGGCAAACCTGTCCGCTCGTTCCTCACTAGTAGGGACGCGAGAATTAACTTGGAAGCAAACGGAAGCGCTCGTAGGTATTGCTGCAAGGGACTCGTGGTCGCTTCGTTGATCGCTCGCTTAACTGTCGCTATCGTGACCTTACCTCTCGAGCTCTTTGTTCTGTCTGCTTCGCCCGTTTTTGCCTTTGCCCTCTTACTTGGAGTTCCCGGGTCAGGGCCCGAGCCCTTGACGTCAGCTTCAGCTAGCTCAACAGCTCGCCGGCAGATATCGAGAGCGCGCCGCGCATCGCCACTCACAGCAGCGACTTTGCGGCTGGCGAACTGAACAGCATCTGGTTCGACGATGTTACCCGGAACACCCTCAAGCCGCGACTGGATGATCTTCATGAGTTGTTCGTGGTTGTAGCCTGGGAATGTGATACGTGTCAGGCCCAGACGACTGCTAATTTTGTTGCTAAGCGTTCTTTCCGGCAAGTCCATCGTGTTAGCCACTGCCAGTACAATAAGTCGCGAGTGTCTCAGCCCAGGCCAGTTGAAAAAGTTATACATGACGCTTTGGTTCTTAGTAACGAGTTGGTCGAGCTCGTCCATCAGGACAACACAAGGGACTCGTCGAGGGCTCGGGTTGTTAAACTCTCGCTCGAGGAGATCTAGTGCCTGGCTCGGGCTGACTCGCTGTCCCTTCAAAGCCTCCCAGAGGAGGGAGTACGACTGGTGCGGGTCGGTTATCTTCATACCATTGATTTCGACGAAGATGAAGTCGTCTAACTCGTCGGATCGCACCGCTTCGTCTAGCTTTGACACCACCTCTCGTACTGTAGCCGTCTTCCCCGTTCCTGGAGTTCCAGAGATGTAGATACAAGCGCCAGAGCCATCAGTAATAGCAGCCTCGAGATGCGAATATACCAAAGAGAACTCGGATTCTCGGCAAGGTAAGCTAGTTGGTACCGATGCAACGTGTAATTGAGCCCTTGCAATCTGGAAAGGGGAAGACTGGTGGTGGCTTGGAGAAAGTATTCGGGTAGCAAGCGGGGTGAATTCCAACGCCTTTTTCACCACAACTCTAGTAGTCTAGGTTAACAACACTTGGTCACAATTTTCGGGACATGGCGGACTAAGCATCCAAGTATTTACCTGCGGTTAGAAGGTGTCACGACCTGTTTTGTTTTCTGCCTCTTTCTCGGCGTAGTGACAGGTCGAGGAGCGCCGTCATCAGAAGGACAATCCTCGTCTCGCTCTGGCTGGGTAGCCACATAGTCCGTTTCTCGGGTAGATACATCATGATTGCGCCGCTTCCTTGTCGATCTCGTCCCGCTCCGTACCAATTCTAGCAGGTCGTCCACATCTCCTTCCCTGCCGGAATAGACGTCCTCCCATATAAACTCTTCTGTGTACGTCGCAGTCCTCGTATTGCATCCTCTTTTGCAAATGAAGGTCTTGTTGTAGCCTGGTGAGTTACGGGGGACCTTACCACTGGGATATTCCTCCTGAAACTTCTGCTGAGACATAACCACGGCTCTGCCGTTGATAGAAGCTAATGGATTGACATCAGTAGATGGCGTGATGTATAATTCATTCTAAGCTCAGTATAATTAGCAAGGGAAGCAGGGAAGCGTATAGATTAATACCAAATACCAACCGGTAGGAAATCAGTTCTCTTCCGATCGCTATTTCGGATCTCTTTCTCAGTAGAAAACCACAGGAAATTAGCTGCCTTATCTCCATCCTCGTCGGCTTCGCGGAATTCGGCAACTATAGCGACCCAGGCCTCATTGGAGCCATCGGCCTTTAATAGAACACAATCGCCAACGTAGCATTCGAAAGTGCCCATGCGAGCGCCCACTATGCTATGATGGGCATTCCTCTTCCTCTTGGTAGGCGATGCAGATGACTCGGCTTCCCGGTAAATCCACTCCCAGGGGTGATCATCGACACCCAACTCATCATCCGAGTCATCTCTGGCGACCCCCTTAATGACGTTGGAAGACCGGCGGACCATCGGGGATTACCAGCTAAAATCAAAAGGGTGTAATGAGAATAAATTATTACAAGTCGAAATTAGGAAACGCTCCAAAAACTTTGTTTGTTCAATTAAGTAATTGAGTAATTGGTGCGCATTATAATAAAACGAATGTCGGTAGGTGCTCTTGTAAGTGAACAGCGGGCAGCGGAGAGCGGTAACTAGCAGATTGGACGCGGCTTCTCGTGTAAGGCAGATTCGCGCAATCACGTGACCTGTTAGTTTAATTAATTAAATTGATTAGGTACAGCTTTACCAAGCCGACAACATAGTAGAAATTATATGAATCCTCATTCATGAAATTGAAAAATAATAGAAGAATATTTATCTAGTTGATATTTTTTTTTTGGTTGCCCACGCAAATTATCTAAACAGATTGCTTGCTACAACATAGCTCTTTGCCTTGTACACAACGGAGCGGATACTTGCATGTGCTACACCGTCATGCAGTAGACTGTAGGGGTACACACATGGCAACACCTAACCTACATGTATGTTGTAATCAAGGTAGGCGCCGCCTACTTATAGAGCCCTAAGGCAACTACGGCCACTACGGCAACTACCGATTCCTGCCACTTTATATCTTAACCACAATGTCGGCATTTCAAAGACATAAATTTGTCTATCTTTGGATTCCATCGCCGAATTATTCTAACCAGTTTCCTAGAACTTGAAACCCACGACGTATCTATAGAAGCTTTGTCTTATAATCTTAATACAATTTCCACTTGACAGCTTCATGCCTTCGTGTCTTTTCTTCATTTGATTTTAGAAACCTGATACTGGAACATACATCTACGCTGCAAGTCACAATGGAGTCCTTGATAGACTTGTATGTGTCTTTCTTACCTTGCATAATTAGTCGTCTTAAATCCATGGGTGAGACTAACTTGTGACTTGTCCTATCCTCAATAGTTCTGACTCGTTGAACGACGTTGATCGTGGCGGTGATCCGGCATCTTCCTTAGACTTACTTCTTCAAGGGTCAGACAACGGGGAAGCTGCACTTCAATACTTACCAGTTCTTCATCCCGGTGCCTACAATCCTTCTACCTACGAGCCCTTTGCCATGCTGTATCCACCCAAGGCAACTGGTAACACCTCGAAAACAGACGCCAACGCCACTAAGATGGATGACACCCACACAAACACCGTCACCCCCGACTCTCAGCCGGCACCTACTGAAGCAACTACTCAGACAGACACGTCGAGTTTCAAAGAAGAACCCAAGCCGGTCATTAGCCTGCGCAGTGCATCCAAAAGTGCGCATAGCATGGCTAATCCTACCGAGAAAGTGAAGGTTTGTAACTCCCTCGACAGCTTTCACTCGTATAAAAATGATAATCGCTAATACGGCCTTCCTTTTTGAAAATCTTAGGTCAACTTCATCATTTCTCACGCCCCAGAAGTAGCTTCCGGGGTGATTGAGGCCGTATACAAAGAACTGAGCCGAGCGAATGACAACAATCTTGAACTTCGCAAGACCCCCCAAGGCTCGTACATGAGAATCAACGGTCTTGCCAAGAACATCAAAGAGTATATCAACTTGGTACAGGATGTGGCTAAGGACTTGATCTCCAATGAGTCCATCGGAGGATCTAATTTTTTCATGGAACCTCCCGCCGAAATCGATAGCGCTGCTCAGGTCCTTCTGCACACCAACCCTGTATCGGGCGAAGTACGACCAATACTACAGCCAGGACAAGATGCTGTTGCCGGCCTGCAATTTCTGGAGACTCCTGAGCAGTACAAGGCGAAACTGAACGACTATCTCTACAAGTCGCTGATCAAAGCCGGCCGTCTCAAGTTGTCATTGACACTGAGAGTTTACTTAGGCCAGTTCATGTTGCGAAAGTACCCGAAGGGCAAGGAAGTGTATGGGTACAACGACTTCCATGCCATGGTGAAGAATCCCCGAGCCTCTGGATGGCTGAAGAACTGGTGAGCACTTGAACCTTTAAGATTCATAAAATTAGCCGGTATCACTAATGATTGAATAGGATCGGTGACGAGACACTAGTTAAAAGAGTCCTTGATTTTGTCAGGAACAGCACAAACGGTCCGTTCCAACCTATTGGCAACCAGGCGGCCGTAGCAGCGGATGTCCTACCGCAATATTCTCTCGAGATGCGCTCTGAGGGGACCAAGTTTGATGTACCTATCAAGAAGAGAACCAGCGAGAGGTCAAGAGGCACGATCGCTTGTAAGCTCTACCGCGTAACTTCGAGTACACTTGATGCCAACCCTGCCGAGGCTAATGTTTATAACTTGAGCCTTGGAAAGTAAGTCTACTACTAGATATGAATTGGTATGATATACAATCTGACGCCGCTACCAGGAACCTCGACTGGCAATTGGAAGGCATCGAAGAGGACAAGGGCGCAAAGACGTTCCCAGAAGTTACCCAGTACTTAAGATCTGCCAAGGCCGAACTATTAAACTCGGAGCGACCTCACGACCTTAACGTCTATCCCAGCGTCAAGCTGGAACCCTCCATCGCGGTGGAGAGTAAAATCAAGCATGTCGCGGTCAAGACAATCTATCAATTCAGATGGAAGGCCACAACGTACATTGTCGAGATCGCAGTCAACCACCGATGGGACAGCATCCCTGCCATGAGAGCCAAGGCAGTGCCGAAGATCGAACTTGGAATCAGCATCTTTGGAGAAGACTGGGATTCGGAAGAGGATGTGGTTGGGAACGTCTGGGGCGACGAGTTGGAGTGTCTACTTGAAGGCCTGCGAGGTGAAACGACGCCTAAGGGCCCTGACAGGGTTGACCATTTCCTACGGACAGTTGGTGACATTCGCGATGCCTTTGAGCACCTCTTCTAGGCTTGCCATTTCAGGTTCAGACCATGAGTTATGATAGGAAGGATGTATCAAAACAATCCCTACTTGTTGATAGTTTGGCGCTGGGGCTTTGATGTTTGTTAAGAGCTAAGATCCATCAAGGATATCTCACAGCTCTTGGCCGTTTACGATGATGCTGTCTGCTGCGCTCCGCCGACCATTTTTTGCCTCAAAACTAATAGTTTCGCAAGTTGTATTAGCTACTGAAACGGAGAGAAAATCCAGATTAGGACGTATAGAGTCAATAATACCTTCTTCGACAACCCGTACGTTGTTAGTTTTGCCCTGCACGATTGCTTCTAGATCCCTTATACTTGCTCCTAACTCGCCCACCTTGTTCTCGTAGAAATCCGCTGCTGATTTGATATTCTATACGCTCGTGTCAACAAATTCGTAGTCCTGATGCCCATGCTACACGTGGTTCTCACCTTCTCGACGTAGAAGCCGGTGCCAATGTCGACGACGACGTGGGACGCATCAGCGAGGGTCCCACGCACGTAGAGGGAGTTGGTAAGAGGGACGAGGATCGAGTTGTTTTCTGTAATTTCTTAGATCTCAAATTCAAATTCGCTTTCTCATCATAGCTATCCCATGCCGAGCAATAGCAATAGCAATAGCAATAGTAATAGTAATAGTGATAGTGACAGTGGACGTACCCCGTAGAGCAGGCGACTTGTTTTTATCCTGAACGCAGCGCAGACATTCGCGGAACTTGGACTGGGCGGCGTGGAGCTGGGTAAAGGACGACGTCAGGTGCTCTAGTTCCTCGTCGAGTTGCTTCTTCACCTGGCTGAGCTGCTGGGCGCTCAGGGTGTCGAGGTTGACTGTTGGTTTAGAGATGGAGGGGTTAGTCAATCAATCCTATCTGACTACTTGGAATAACTAAATGAAAATAAAGATATAGGAGTGGAAATAAACATACTCGTCTCGCTGTTACCGCTGGCCATTCTATGGTCTATGATCTGATACTAAATTGCCTTGCGGAAATTATAGAAATTATAGGTTCAGGTCGGTTGAATAAAGGTGAGCTTAACTTCAAATGTGGTGTAAATTGAAGATGTGGTGGGGTGGGAATGCTTGAACTATCAGCACTGTTGTACTATGTATACGGCGGGCGAAAGTGGAGCTGCTTTTTCATACATGTTATTAAAATGTTAACATTCTCAAGTTACAACACTTGATTAACACATTTTCATTCTAATCAAAGTTTCATTTTTTTCTCTATGCTCTCTTTTAATATATATTTGTAAACCACGTAACTAGAATATCATAGTGCCAACTGGCTTACACCCTGCAAGCGTGAAGTTATATGATAGTAACAGATCGAACCCAGATTGCGTAGTAGTCCCCTTAATTTAAAATAACTATCCGCTCTAGCTCCATAGCTGGACGGCAAGTAAAATATGTTCCTTTGTTTCTCTCTAGGTTTAACCTCCCATTAACAAGAATAAGTCTGATAGGACTCGCCTCAGATAGATTCTAGCCTATGCTATCCATTACGAAGAAAATTTGTTCCTCTATCATCCGCAAAATCAGAAATGAACGCTCTCCTCCGCACCATTGACAAGACCGTTAGTTTGCTTCTTCTGTTGTCGTATCTCCTGGATAACCTGGTCGAGGCAGCCTGTGCTGGCAGCCATAAAACCGAGGTACGTAGGCGACGGAGCGAGAACGCGAGATGTAAACTCGGGGTGGGCCTGGACTCCAACGAAAAAGGGATGATCCTTCAGCTCAACCACTTCCATACGCTTTCCTGATTCATCCTTGCCAATGAAGTTGAGCCCAACCTTCTCGAGCTCCTCGATATAATCAGGGTTGACTTCGTAACGGTGTCTGTGTCGCTCTTCCATAACGCTGGAGTCTGCGTACAAGGCCCGAAGCTTACTCCACTCGCTCCCGGATTGGAAATGTGTTGCTTTTGTACCGAGTCGCATTGTGCCGCCCATTATCTCTTTTGACCCTTCTGGCATGAAGATGACAACACGATGTTCGGCGTTAGCATCAAATTCTTCCGAGGTAGCACCCTTATATCCACACAGATTCTGAGCGGCTTCTATAACGGCGACCTGCATTCCAAGGCAGATTCCCAGGTAAGGGATCTTGCATTCGCGTGCCCATTTTGCAGCCTTGACCATCCCTGCTACGCCTCTACCACCGAATCCTCCCGGGCAGATGCCTGTATTGAATTAGCCGGTAGCACGTTAAAGGCGCCCGAAAATATTTAGATAGCTCAAGGCCTACTTTCCAAGCAGCCACTTTATTGGTATAGATTGCGTTCCAGCTCTCTTGTAATGGGGATGACGAATATTAAATTACTTACAACCAGAAGCAACAGTAAGTTGTGACCAAGCCTTATGATATATGGTGGGATCGCTCTTCAAAGTAGCATCTTCAAGGTGCTCTGCATCAATCCAGCATAGGTTTAGCTTGCGGTTGCATCGCATTGCAGAATGTTCTAGAGCCTTGATCACGGAGAGGTAACCTAGACATCACATGTTAGTTTTCGCTATTCTAGGGATAATATATATCTTTAAATAAACAACACCTATGATTTAATAGACAGAGTTATAAATGAATTGGCGATACTTACTATCAGGAAGTGCGATATATTTACCAACCAAAGCAATTATTACCGGCTCTAGGTATGGCTTTGTCACGACAGTCTTCTTCCATAATTTCCATAAGTTTTCGCCTTTGCTGACCAAGGTCGGGGGGATCGATAATTGGTCTAACATCAAGGCCTCGCGTAGACGGTGAAGCAAGCCCTGGTCCTCAAGGAGTAGTGGTACTTGATAAATAGTCTCGATATCCCGAACGGTAACAACCTGTTTGAATTCGACCTGGCAGCTTCGGGCAATCTTTTGAGTCGTAGCTTCGTCGAGAGCACGCTCGCAGCGGCAAGCAATCTATAGATGCTCTTAGTTGCCAATATCACATAATATCCCATTTTGGTACTAACCAGGTCTGGTATTAAACCGGCGCTTCGCATCTGTTTGATAGCATGTTGCGTAGGCTTGGTCTTCTCCTCGCCATGGATGATGGGCACGTAAGAGACATGTATGTTGACCAAGTTTCCTTTGCCAACCTTATATCGGAACTGAGTTAATGCTTCGACGAAGGGCATGCTCTCAATGTCGCCAACAGTGCCACCCTATTAGGAGCCAATTAGATCCGTAAAATCAAAGCCAGTTGCGTAGCTAATAACAATAAATCCAGTGTAAAAACGTACCAATTCAACTATAAACCAATATTAATTAGCGCCTGAAAACTCGCTGGGGGCCATGAATACATACTGATACAGACATCGGGTTCTTCGCTACTATCATCAACAGGTATCCTCGCTACCCGCTGAATCCAGTCCTGAATGGCATCTGTGATGTGAGGTACAACCTGGACTGTGCGACCTATGTAGTCACCCTTCCGTTCCCGTTCGATTACAGCCCTTTAAGGAAGTTAGTATAAAGCAAAACTAAAACAAAATGACAGGCCAGTGTGACGAACTTGTAGATCTTGCCAGTTGTGATGTTGTTCTCATTAGTGAGGTTGAGGTTCAAATAACGCTCATAGTTTCCGAGATCAAGATCAGATTCGCCTCCGTCCTAGTTTCTATTAGCATGCTAGTAACGATACAATCCTGAAAGTTAGATTTCACCTTTAGAACAAAGCACTCTCCATGTCTTAAAAAATCGATTACTGTTAGTATTGCAATATATTTATCACCTTAGGTATCTCACCTACTCGAGTGGGCCTAATGTACCAGCGTCTACATTCAAATACGGGTCAATTTTAATTGCCTAAGCCACAATCCCCAATTAGCATATGATCGTTAAATGACACGGAAAAGTGCATGCTCGTAGCTCATACCGTAACCTTAAGACCCGTCGTCTTAAGCAGAAGCCCAGACGAGGAAGCTTAAAAAAGTTAGCAGAGCCAGAAGTATAAGTGGTTCATTTCTCGCTGCTATACCTATTATGCCTATCAAATAATCAAGTTAGCAGCTGAAGCCGACTTTAGTATATTTTGTCATCATTGTAAACAAGAGTGAAAAGAGCAATACCTTTGCCAATGCCGCTGATGACACCGCCGCTGACTAGCACGTACTTCATCTTGCTAACTTGCCGCGAAAGCTTGGAAAACGTAGACGTACGGCACCGGCGTCAATTCAGGTAGGGCTACCTCTTATATCACGAGGCTTGAATAATATACCTAATTAGAGGAAGGGGGATTGTTGGGAATGGAAATAAAAAAATAATTATTTGGAAGTTTTGCGGCGAGTCCGACTCTGCAGCAGGCAGAATAATGATACTAAAAAAAAAAAGTTTATCTGCCTTACTGCTAAACAAGCTTTCTGACAAGTACCCCTCTATCGATAAGATGACTTTATTCTTTTTTACAAGTTACTAGGATGTTAAATGTTATTTGGTGGAGATGTTACTTAAAAGAGTAAGGTATTAAGACATACGAAATATTATGGCAAGATACGCATCTTATGTTTTCGGGAAGACTTTTATCATTAAAAATTACCTGTTCAGGCAAAAATTAAGCTAGAATCTTCGAACGGTTTTGTATCTTACCATACAAATAAACCAATACGATACCTATTAACTGCTTCAAGTAACATCTCCACCAAATAACATTTAACATCCTAGTAACTTGTATTCATGTTAGGCAGGCGGTAAAAAGATTGACGTATGTACATGCCGGTACGTACCGGTACGTACCTGATGGAGGGGCATGGGAGACCCTGGCTTCTCTCTTGGTGGGGTGAGGGGGAGGGGTGTTCCTAAGTTCGCGAAACAATTAATTCGTAGCATCAAATGTGACTCAGGCTCACACCAGCTTCATATAGCATACAAGAACCTCGAATTTTCACACTTCCTACTACCCGGACGCAACGCATGAAAACTAAACAGCACTACTTCCCACGTTGAGCATGGCATCCTCAACAACGAGCCCCCCGTCGGGGGATCTCGCCTCCCGCATTCTTCAGTCCCTCGACCAGACCTCGCCGCTCCTCTCGTCTGAAGCCTTTCCGGATGCGAGCTTCGTCGAAGTAAAGGCTGCTCTAGACCGATTGGCCTCTCGTGATATGGTGACCTACGATACGATAGAACGAGAAGAAGCTATATTAGAGCCTGAGGGCGAGCAGATTGCTGCCAATGGCAGTCACGAAGCCCGCGTATTCGATGCCTTGCGCTCTGCCATCGACGGCCTAACCGTGCAGGACCTAGAGAAGGTCATCGGTGACAAGAGTGTTGTTAAGATTGGCCAGGGCAAGGCGTTCAAGGAGAAGTGGATATCGAAGACGAAGGGTACGCGTACAGATACTATTCCTACTAAGCTGTTGTGGCTAACAAACCGGTGCGAATGCAGATGGCAAGTTCAAGGCCGTGCAAGAATCCATACAAGATGTTACCAAGGAGCAAATGTTAACCATTAAGGCGACACGAACATATCCTGACGCTAAACTACTTGCCGATTTGAAGAAGCGAAAACTTATCAAGATGCAAAAGATTATCAGCTTCAAAATTCATAAGGGTACCAAGTTCGCTCTCAAGATCCCTGAAGAGGCAACAGACTTAACTGCCGACATGATAAGTACGGGGTCGTGGAAGACTGCTACATTCAAGCCATACAACTTCAAGGCTTCAGGAGCAGACCAACGGTCGGGTGCATTGCATCCACTCAGCAAAGTTCGCGCCGAGTTCAGGCAGATTTTCTTTGAGATGGGGTTCGAGGAGATGCCCACCGATAAGTAGGTACTTCCAACGGTAGAAGATTCGCCCAAGCTAACATGGGCTTCCTCTCCAGGTTTGTCGAGTCTGGTTTCTGGAACTTCGACGCCCTTTATGTGCCACAGCAACACCCAGCCCGTGACTTACAAGACACCGTATGCGACCTCCTTCTTTTCCACCGTCATATATTAGAGGATATTTATGATATACTTTGGACCTTCTCTCTCTACCAGTAATAGCTCCTAACATTTTGTTGGAATAGTTCTATATTTCCGACCCTGCCGCAGCTGATAAGCCTCGAGAAACATCGCCTGATGACAAGAAAGACTACAACGCTTACTGGGAGAATGTGAAGGCGGTTCACCAAGTACGTATCCTCTATATAACCCCAGCTAGTCCCTCTAAACATTCGGGAGATTGCTAATTTACGGGACATAGGATGGCAAATATGGTTCAATCGGCTACCGATACCCCTGGTCGGGGGACGAGTCACTACGATTGGTGCTACGTACTCACACGACAGCTATCAGCGCAAATATGCTTCATAAACTAGCAGCCAGAAAAGGCCCTGACGGTCGCCCACCTCCAGCACGCTATTTCTCCATCGATAGAGTGTTCCGAAATGAGAGTGTTGATGCAACACATCTTGCAGAGTTCCATCAGGTCGAGGGTGTCATCGCTGACGCAAACTTGACTCTTGGTGGCCTCATGGAGGTGAGCATCTATACTTACTGACTAACTATAACAACAAAGCGAACCAATCGCTGACTGGTTCTAGTTCATGGACATCTTCTTTGGCAAGATGGGTATCACTGATCTCAAGTATAAGCCGGCCTACAACCCTTGTGCGTACTCCTTCAGGTCTACCTTGTCCCTATTTTTTTAATGAGACCCTGGACGTTATTCTGGGGTTTCCAGTAGCTTAGGTATATATCTACGTTTTGCTGACATTGACTTAGACACCGAACCTAGCATGGAAATTTTCTCTTATCGTACGTATCCCGCAAAAACGCATACTCTTTTAATCCCTTTTCAACTAGATACTAACATGTTATAACAGACAAGGGCCTAGGCAAGCTTATTGAAATAGGTAACAGCGGGATGTTCCGGCCCGAAATGCTCGAAGCTATGGGATTCCCGTACGTATCATACCCTTTGTTTGTTTTGCTATTCTCTTGAGCTTCCGTCATTATTCTTGATAAAATTCTTACTTTGATTGTAGCCCGGATACACGCGTTTACGGCTGGGGTCTGTCTTTGGAAAGGCCTACGATGATCAAATATGGAATCTCAAATATTCGCGAGCTACTAGGCCACAAGGTAGATTTGAAGTTTGTCCAAAGTAGTCCCGCCGTACGCTTGGATAAAGATTAGAAAAAAGGTTGTGGTTTTTTATGTACTAAACTAGAAGAAGTGGTTAAGCATAAAATAAACTAAACTTATTCTATCAATGTACTGGAGGCAACCCCGAAAGTTTTCAAAAACGTGGTCTGAGGCACGGACGTTGATTTTAAGCCCTCATGGCAAAAGTCAAAAGACGTGGTGGACACTCCTTAATAATATTACTGAAATAACCAAGTTTAAGTTTACTTGATTTTTTTTCTCTATAAATACACGTTATATATTTTTTACATCTTTTTAAATCCATTCTTTTGATGGATTTTTCTTCCAGGCATACGAAAAGCGTTAACAACTTCCTTAAATCATCTCTTTTTATACCAGTGAAGTTATGGCTCTCGGAACCCCATCCTAATGGGGAGCCCAACCCTCTGGGAAACCTGTCCGATGAGTTCACACGCGATGAAGCCCTTTGGAAATGGCGCACTGGCATGGAAAAGAGCTATAAAAACACTTCCTATTTGCACAGCACCACCCTTCTTTACAGCCCGTCACTCCAAGATATTGACTGCTTACCCGATGTTGGAGACTTCCTTGACACCTGCAATAAGACAGTACCGGTCTACATAACAATAGATACTGTTAAGTGCAGGCTACTGTTGACAGTACTCCATAATTACATATATCGTTGATGGTTTCGTCCATATCGGAGCGAGATCGAACGACGTCGCTTCATCTGCAAATTCATCGGTCCAAGAGATCTCCCGGCCGAATCCTTATCATCCCACTCAACTATCGACACTGTTGTTTCCATGAACAATGCTATCTGTAACGAGGTTGAGGCGCGACGCCATTCATATGAGAATCTTCTTGGTTCGGGAGAAGAAGGACTGGAATGGCGGTTAGGATTGAGCGCTGTCAAAGCACATAAGTTTCATATCCTTCAGCCTCTATTCCGAGCGCTACTTCTTATTGTTTCTCGGGAGAACTATAACAACGAGCGCTCGAAGGACATCGGCCGCATTCCCGTCTTATTAGTTCGCACGGGCATATAGGGCGGGTTAAGTGCACCTATCAAGTTTGAAGCCCTAGCAGGCAAGATCAATGGTTACAAAGGAAAGACTAGAAACGTTATAGAGGTAACACTTGAAGTAGCAATCGATTTTATAATGGACTTGGAGGCCAGGGAGGCAACGGCATTTGGTCTCCAACCAGACCCGGTAACGGCTTGGAAAACGGACGGACTAGCAGAAAATATCCGCATCATCTTGGGACAAGATGAGCCACTAAATGGACCAAGTTCCAGGTTTGTAAATACCGATAAATACCCATGAATGTCCAACTGTAGCAAAAATAAAGGAGCGGGAATTCGATAGGGCCAATCGTATCAATGGTGTGGGTGTACCTTGGGAAGAGTATTGCATTAAAGAAATTAAATTGTATAAGAGTTAGACAATTGTTGATATAACAAATGTGGCAAAAAGGAAAATACAAATTGAGCCCAACGTGGGGCTCGAACCCACAGCCTCTGGATACCATTTGAAAATAGAAGTCCAGTGCTCTACCATTGAGCTAGCTGGGCCTTAGACAGGCTTGCCAATTTCCCGGATTAAGCTACCTTATATTGAGCACTACAAAGGTCAAGGCCAAAAGTCTTGCACACTTAAGCTTACCAAAGCTTATGTCAAGTAACTTTAAACGAGATTTTTTAATGCCTTAAGTTTACAATAACTTTAATAATATAATTTAATTATATTAATAATATAACTTATTTATTTTACAAGTAATATAAACCACCACTGTTATATTATATAAACCGTGGTTAAATAAAATAAAATATTTTATTTTTTACGTAATATTATAAATAATTTTACGAATTTATAATTAATAATTTTTAAAAAAATATTATTATTTTAATTGAAAAATAATAAAAATTTTAATGTTAATTATACGTAAATTAAATTTATATTAATAAAATAATTTATAATATAAAAATATTATAAAAATATTATTACGTATATAATTAAATTTTGTTTTTTATAATTTTTTATATTAAAATCATTTTAATTAAAATTAAAACATAAAATATAAAACAATTAAAATTAAAAAATATTTAATTTAAATATAAATAATAATAAATTAAAATAATAAAATTAAAACAAAATCCGGTAATTTATATATTTTATATAACCCGTTTTATAAATTTTTTTTTAATAATTATATATTTCCTTTTTAAACAATTATTAAACTATTTTTTTTTATATATTATTACTTTTATTTTTAAAACTATTATTAAAATTAATAATAAATTAAAATAATAAAAAAATAAATAAACATAATAAAAAAATTTTATTTACTTATTTACGTTTAATAAATCTTTTAAATTTAAAATTATATATTATAAATTTATTATAATTAAATTTATTAAATAAATAATTAATTTAATTAATATATATTAACTTTTTTTTAATAAATTAAAATAAATTTATATTATTATTATATTACCTTTTTTATATTAATTTATTATAAATATATTTTTATTTTAAACTAAAAAATAATTTTTAATATAAATTAAAAAAAATAACTATAAACAATATTTTTTTAATAAAAAATTTAATAAAAAAATATTTAATTTTTTCATTTTTAAATTCCTTTTTAAATTTTACTTCCAAATAAAATTTAATAATTAAAAAACGTTTATTTATAAAAAAAAAAAATATTATTAAAAATTAACTAAACAAAATAAATAAATAAATATTTTTTAAAAATATTATTTAATTATTAAAATAGTTAATTGTAAAATAAATATTTTTATTTATACAAATATATTTTATTTTTTTAAAATATTTAACCTATTAATTTATATTTATTATTAATAATTTTAAATATTATAATAAAATATTTTTAATTAAATTATTAATAAATATTTTTATATAATGTAAAAATATTACCAATATTATTAATTATTAACTTACTTAAAAAATTTATATTATATTAATTTATTTTATTTTTTATAAATTAATTAATTTTAGTAAAAAATATAACGTAAACTTTTTTAAAAACAATAATAAATTATATTATTTAATAAAAACCGTTGTAAATAATAATCGCTTTGTAAAATATTAATAAAAATTGTTATTGTATTTTTAAAAAAAGTTAATTAATAATTAAATTGTGTTATATTTAAAGAATATTATTATAAAAAAAATATTTAATTATTAAAAAAAAATATAATAAAATATTTATTTAATATTAAATTAATAAAAATTTATAAATATTTATAATAAAAATTTATACGTTTTATATTTAAATATATAAAAATAATATTAATTATTATAAAAAATACTATTATTTAAATAAATAATATATACTAAATTATAATTTTTTTTAATTAAATAAGAAATAAAATTATTAAATTATACGTTATTTATTATAATATAAATAATATAATAAATTAAATTATAATTAATATTTTTATTATAAAATTTAAAAAATTATAATAAAAATAAATATATAATATTATATTTAAAATATTAAATAATAATTTTACTTTTTATTATTTTTTAATTATTGTAAATATTAAAAAAAATAATAAAGATTTAATTTAAAATATTATTTAAAATAATTTAATAAATAAAATAATTAAATTAAAAAAAATAAAAATAATATAAAAAATAAACGTAAAGTTTTTATAATAATTTAATAAAGTTTTATAATAAAATATTAATAATTTTATTTATAAAAATAAATATTTTAATTATTTAAATAATAATTTTAATTATTATTATAAATTAAATATATATAAAGGTTTTTTTAATTATTATTGTTATTTTTATTTATTATTATTAAATTTTATTTATATTAAAAGTATTAAAATTTTATAACATATATAATTATAATTAAATAAATAATTAAATATTAAATTAAATAAATTAAATAAATTAAATATTTATAATATTATAACATATAATAAATTTAAAATAAATTTGGATTTAAAAATCTTATAAATAATCTTTTTTAAAATAAAACCTTATAATTTATAAATAATAATAATATAAGAAATTATTAAAAAAAATTAAATTTTAATATAATTTATTTTATAAATAATAAATTTTTAATATATATATTTAATTAAAATAATAAAGTTACCGTAGTTATTATAAAGTTTATTATTATTAAAAAAAGTAAAAAATAAGTTTTTATATTTATTAAAAATTATTATTATAATTTTTAAAGGGTTTTAAGTTATATTAACTTTTTTAATTTATAATATATTATAAATATAACTTTAAATATTATTAATTAAATTTATTTAATTTTAAATATTTTGGATTATTATAATTTTATATTTAATATAAATAAAAAAAGATTTTAATAAATTTTTAATAATTTAAAATTTTATTTACGCAATTTTAAAACCGTTATTTATTACGTTAATATAAATTATAATAATAATTAAATTTATTATATATTTTTAATTATAAATATTAATTTATTTTTTTAAGAAACATATTTTTAACGTTTTAATAAATTGTTTAATCTTTTTAAAAAAAACTTTATTACGTATTAAAAAATTAATAATTTTTATAATATAATTAATGTTTTAATTATATATAATTTTTAAAATATTTATTTAAAAGCGGTTTATTTTTTATTTTATTAATATAATATAATATTTAAAAAAGTAAAATATATAAATAATTAATAAGTATTTTTTCCGATTATTTTAGTTTTTTTTTAAAATATTGCTTATTATAAATAATAGTTTTTATAAAATCAAGAATAATTAAAAAAAGTTACTAATAATAATAACGTTTAATTTTTTAAAATATTTATTATAATAATATAAGAAAATCTTTTTAAAACATTTATTTATTTAATTAAAAGTTTAAAATTTAAATATGTTTTTTTATTAATTATTAAATAATAAATACTTTTAAAAAAACGTTATATTATTTTTAATATCATTAAATTATTAATTATAAATTAATATATTTATTTAATTAAAAAGTATAAAATTAAATATAAAATTTATTTTATAATAAAATTATTAATTACGTTAATAAATATAATTTATATAATAGGTAATTTATAAAATAAAGTAATTTTTTATAAATATAAAGAAAAAACGTTAACGAGATAAAATTTATTAATTTTTTTTTACTATTAAATTAAATATAAAATAAAAATAATATTATATTATTTTTTTAATTTTATAATAATGGTTTATTACTGTATTGTAAATTATATATTATTTTTTATTTAAAATATTTTAAATTTTTAAAAGTAACTGGGTAATGTTAAAATTTTTTTAATTTTATTTTTATAACTTTTTTTAATAATTAAATAAAAAAAAAGTAAATATTTATATTAATTAATATAAATTAATTAATTATAATTTAAATTAATATTTTATTAATTAAAAAATTTAACTTTTTTTATTTAAAATTTAATTTCGGAATTATTTATATTAATTTTTATTAATTTTTTAAGGTAATATTTATTTTAACCGGATTATTTGTTTTAATTTTTTTTTTTTTAAGTTTTAGGTTACAATTTTTAATAATTTTATAATAATTATTTAAATGTTTATAAATTTATTAATATTATATATATATATATATATATATGTGTTAAATTTTAAATTTTTAATAAAAAAAAAGTTTATATATTTATAATAAAAATAATTTAATGTTAATTTTATATAATAAAAATCTTTATATTAAAATTAGTTATAAATAAATTTATATTATAAAAAATATATAAAAATATAAAGTTTTATAAAATATTTTTATAATGTTTATTTTTTAAAATTATATAATATAAAATTTTATTGTTTTAAAAATTTAAAATATAATATATTTTTTATAATTTATAAATATTTAAAATATTTTTTATATATAGTTAAAAATTATAAACGTTTATTTTTTTTATATATATTAATAAATTTAAAATAGGTATTAAAAGGGTAATAATTTACGTTTTAGTAAATTTGGTTATTTATTTCAAAAAAAAATTAAATAATATATAAAAATTTTTTTAAATAAAATAATCTTTTTTTTTAATTAATTTATTTATTACTTTTAATATAAATAATAATATTATATTATTGGTTAAAATATAAAGTAAAATATTAACGGTTATTTTTGTATATATTATGGTTATTACTTTTTTTTTATTATAATATTTTGTAATATAATTAATAATAATTTATACGTTAATATATAATAATATATTAATATTTTTAATTAATATAATAATATAAATTAGTTATATTAATTTAAAATAAGATTATTTTTAATTAGTTTAAAAAATTATTATTTTTTTTTGATTTAATTAATGTAATTTTTTTTTATAACTTTTTAAAAAAGTTAAAATAATATTTAATTAAAAACGTGGTTTTATTTTTTTTTAATAGTTTTTTTTTTATTTAT